CTGGCAACTATTGTTGCCAAAGTGTATCACTGTAATTTTTGGCTCACAATAAAAAATTACAGTTTTACTAATCCATTATTTTCCACTTATTTGCTAGTAAACAACTTGGACAAAAGTTCTGTTTAAAAAATTTTTGTTTCCTAGTGCTTCCTATCGTATGACATTGACATCATCTGCTTCCTGCTCCTTCCCGCTGAAGACATGGCGACTTCAAATCATGCTGGAAACAGGTAATTTTTAGACATTTCTGATGAACTGCCCCAAAATATATTTGTAATAATTTACTCATTCAAGTCTCTAGAGTAACCCTCCATCCAAAAATTATGCCAAATATAAATATTTTTTTTCTTAATAGGCTTATTTCTGTGAGTGGCAACAATAGTTGCCAGTGAGCACAAAGCATGTCGCTAACTAAAGGAAAACTCTCTGCAGGATTGCTCCTAATTTACTTATTTAAAATATTAGAATGATGCACAATGGCTCATTTTAGTCATCTTAGAATACTTTTCTAAGCTAAATAACTTCACACGTATTCAAGGCCTGTGTGTATAGGATTTTTACACGTTACCATACATAATTTTCTTGCTAGCAAACATTAGCTTGTGTCTCACAGTCTAATGATAGCTAGCTAGTTGACAAGCTAATGAAGATGTTGATGTGTAGGGGTGCACTTTTCTTTGCACACAAGAGCTTACATAATCAGTACACACACCTATGCAACCCCCCCTCCCCCCAGTGGTGATATCTGTCATCACAAACTCAAGTGTGATATTGCTTTTACAGAACGTTCCACATATGGAACATGACAATGCACAAGGGATGATATTGAAGATTGAGTAATAGCATAATATGCATGTTTTGACATTGATTTAGGTCCTGGAAAAACGGGCAGATGGATCTCCTCTCATTCCAGAGGCTGGTAGCCCAGACCCTCCTCCAGCACCATGGAACAAAGCCAAGTAGGCAAGGCAGAAAATCTGCAATGGCGGTGGCGATAACTGATGCCACCAGGTTTGACAGCTTGAATCACTGGCCCAGCAACATTGGTAGCAGGTACAAGTAGTGCAAGAAATGTGGCGGACGCACACCATTTGCGTACAACAAATGTGATGTGCAACTACATGTGGAGTGCTTCAAAAAGTACCACACTGAGTAGTCCATCCATAACAAATGATGGATTGTGTGGGAACTATGTCATATACATAAATGTGTGTTAGATGTTCTAAAAAAGCATGTTTGTTGTGATTTTGAGTTTTAAAAAAGTGAATAAAGGAAACGGTTCAAATTGTGTCTTGGTTTGAATTTCATACAGGGGAACCTGAGTCCTTTCTTATTTTTATGACAATACTATTAGGCTATTACTTTGTTATTGCCAGGGCTGGCCCTTGAACAGCCATTGGGAGAGGTATTGCTGCAGTGTCCTGTTTGTGGGATGCATGGGTGAGGTTACGTGTGTGTGTGTGTGTGTGAGTGTGAGTGTGTGTGTGTGTGTGTGTGTGTGTGTGTGTGTGTGTGTGTGTGTGTGTGTGTGAGTGAGTGAGTGAGTGAGTGAGTGAGTGAGTGAGTGAGTGAGAGTGAGAGTGAGAGTGAGAGTGAGAGTGAGAGTGAGAGTGAGAGTGAGAGTGAGAGTGAGAGTGAGAGTGAGAGTGAGAGTGAGAGTGAATAATGCCCCAGGGTCGGCCCTAGTTATAGCGATATTATTATTACTTCTCTATTCCTATTATTAGGTGACATTTCACCTACTGACAAGCTGTGTGACCACTGGCAATAATAGTTGCCAGTCATAAATATGCCATTTTCTTCCCCCAAAAAAGTACATAATTGAAAAAAAAAAGTATATAAGATGATTCAGAGGGACTTAACTGATAAAATGATTTGCATTATGACTCTGAAAAAAATGTGGGCACAAATGGGTTAACTTTTGTCTCAGTTGCAGTGCTGTCGTCTGGACAACTACAGGAACTGGGGAAACAAAATCCCAAAAACCTGCTTGTGTGGTGACAAGTCCACCAACCCGTGTGTGGATGTAAGACTTTCAAACTTTCTTGTACCCACAGATCTTGGTCTTAGTAAGACTTGAGTAAGATCTCTTGTTTAATTTACTGGAACCTTTGCATCTTTTCCAGTCAGTTTTACTAATGAGGAACATGTTCTAGGTGGGTGATTCTCAAAGAGCTGAGAACTGGTTTAACGGCAATCTGGAAGGACAACCTGTCATGTTTTACTCTGAGGTAGTGTTCTGAGAAAAAATGTTAAATTTTTGTTATTTTCAACACAGAGCAAATTTGAAAGTTCAGAATTAACACAAAGTTAAAATGAACACTCCTTCAGAGTTTATACGGGAACCATTGCTTCAGTGTTAAATCAACACTTTTAAGAGTTAACATTTTCACACCATTTTAGTGTTAATAATAAAATATTTTGGTGTTCATTTTTAACACAAGCAGAATTGACTAAATACACCAAATTAGAGTTAAAATTCTACATAGACATTAACAGAGTTAAATTTTCACACCAAGAGGACAGTGTTGGCCTAACTCTCCGAGGAGTTCCGTTCAGTAACAATTTTACACTCATTAGAGTTAAATCCAGTTATTAATCAACTCCATGTATTAATGAATTTTAATTCTTATCGGTGTGTCATGCCAGGAAGCAACCAGCCACACTGAAAAGCACTCGTTAACTCATGCCTTGCACTCCTCGTGGCTATAACGAAGCCAATGAGAGAGGAACACAAGGAGCAGAGTCCTGAGAATTAGGGGTGAACTATGAACCGCTTTTTATTGTGAGAATAGAACAGCACAGCGGTCCCATTTCTTTGACACTTGTGGTGCAAACGTGGCACAACAAGTAACACCACATTTGTAACAATGAATTAAGTGCTACGAACACAATCCCCCCAAAATAAACAAGCATAAACGCCCTAAAATAAAACAAAATAACATAAAACATGACTACCCACAATGCACCTTACTCTCTGCAGCCATGCAGTACCAGTCCAACTTTTAGAATGAAAGGGTGGAGTCTGCAAATTACAGGTGTCATAACCACTGTAGGAGTTCAGAGATAGCTTGTCAGGAGTTATTTAGTCCAAAATGACACCTACAGAGTTGATTAGGAAACACTCCTTCTTAACACTTGAATTTAACTTTCAAGTCAGAGTTACAGACCAACTATATAACTCTGTTTAGTGTTACATTAACTATTCTTGGTGTTAATGACCAACTCCCCAAAATGAAGTTAAATGTGCTATGGGGTTCAGTCACGGATATATGCCCAAAGCTAAAGCTCCTTTTGTTCTGAGATCAAAAGTCACCCAGGAAACATCTGATGCACCGTGTTTAGGATACTTTTAAAAGCAGTTACCTTCATAAACCTAAGAAGCATAATTCTATTTTACATAGGTTTTCCAGAAGAGTCATCACTGTTGTTTGATATTTAGATATTCAACAATACTAAAATAGTTATAAAATAAGACTAAAATAAGTCTAGTCTATTGCAATGCTGCCACAGATAAAGGAAGAAAACATCCTTTTCTGGTGTTTATGCATTCACCTTTTGACTTTCCTAAATTAACCATGATTTCAAGCATTTTAAGCTTTTCTAATATCATCATGTCATTTATACCACATTTAAACCACACAAAATAAATGACAGCAAAGCTTTACTCACACTGACTGGTTTCCAGTCCTCTTTCAGCCGTGCCTTCCAATCATGATTGCATCTTACATCCGGTTTGCTCAAATAGCAGTAGGCATACTGTCAGGATTCATATTATATGGGTAAGTACTATTAATGTGTTCACTGTTTCTGCCCTCTAGTGTCAGTTGCTGATATTGCAACTCACTAAAAACCACTAATCATTGAAGGGGGTCTGTAAGTGATGAACTGTGTTTTATTTTCCACTACAGGTGTTGGCAGTAGCTTTGTGTATCACCATCTTGTGTCAGATGAATAAGAGGCTGGGAACTCCTGAAGTGGTTTACAGTCATGAGGCAGCAACAGGAAGCTACAGCACTCTGATAGAAGATCCAGACTCTAATCAGACTTGAACTGGTTTTGAATTTGCAATTATTGTGTCTAAATTTTTGAGAACATTTAATGTTTAGCCAAATGTAAAACATGGAAAGAAGAGGTAAAACCCCACCACATCCATTTAACAAAGTTTAACTCTGTTTCTGTGCTGAATAAGTTTATTAATCTTTAAATGCATCGTTTAGTGGATAAAGTGAAATTATAATCAAATTCAGTTTAATACAGTGAACCCTTTGTAAACCTAAAATTCATATTTATAGTTTAAGGTTAAAAGCTTTTTGTAGAGTGTTTGAATCAGTTATTTATATAGCAAAATGCACTTCAGTACGATTTCATTCAACATTAACTGAATTTTAACAATTTTTTCTCGCCTCACATTACAACTCCGTCTCTTTTTGCAAACATAAAGAAGGACATCTTGTGGTCAGATTCGGTTACTGCAGCCGATTTTTAAAACAGAAGATTCTACATGACAAGCAAAGAGGAGTCATTTACAGCACGCTGCTAAGAAGATAACAGGTTCAGTTGTTGGTAATTAAAAAAAAAACTCTTCAGAGCTGACAACTGGTTTCTAATTCACTGTTAGCATTGTTAGCTCAATGTTAGCCTTCTTAACCTGATTTTAGAGTAAAACAAAAAGATGCAGTGGCTTTTTAAGGTTTCTAGAAATAACTTCTGTTTACTGGCTTATGATCTTTACCCAGTGTCGAATTACAAATGCTAGCACAGCAGCTCACATGGACTCGGCTACCCTGCAGGCTCACAGTTTGTAACCAAAGATTACGCCCATCTTTAGTTTTTTTTTTAAAGGAGAAAAACTGAAAAACCCCTGCTGTTTGAATGTAACCTTCTTTCCAAGGATTAAAACATTTGACTGTTTTGTGTTTATTGCAATGTAAAATTTTCATATAATAGTCTTATCTTTTGAGCATAAGGTTTCAAAATAAAACATTTTACACAAGAAACAAGAATCAAAGTGTTTAATTTATTCTATTTACAAAATATTACATCTGACTCATCACAAAATAAAAAGAATTACACATGTATGACAAAAAAATGACACAATCACCAAAGAACAAACTGTTTATCAGGCATTTATGGCTTAAGTGCACAGGAAGACAGAATCTGCTGTTTCAGATGAAATTCTTTACTGCAGACAGCTCTTGTAGCGAGTCATCAGAAGTGGTGAAGCAAAAGTCTTCTTCAGTAAGATCAGCTGGAGCGTTACAGTCTCTGCAAGAAAATCAATGACTTTGTTTTCCTACCGAGGATCTCTGCAATGCCATTTCCCTTACACATAAAATAAACGTGACAGCATGCAACCAAAAATAAAAAAGAACCTCCTTCCCGTCTTTAGGAGGAGTTAATAGCAGGTAAATTCACTCGTTCGCTGTGCTTTTTGCAAAAGAGCCTCAAATGCATTTCGGATATTTACAGAGTGCATAACGAGGAGTCGAGACATTCTAGTGTCACAATGAGACATGATTCATTCCTTTGTCTAACCTGATTATATATGCAAGAAAATGCATCACTTAATCAAGGATTAAAGTTCAATAAAAGCAGATTGAACAGGGTGATCCATAAACATGACTAGTTGTTGTTTTGTTTACAAATACATGGTGTGTGCACTAGATAAAACATTTAATGCAAGACGGTTGAACTGTTTTAGGTTTTCCTTTTGGAGATGCTTCAACAATGCATGTACACTTTCCATGTAAAGTACGTTTACCTGCAAATTAAAATGTTTTTGGTATCATAGATTCTTCACTGACAACTGTAGGGAACAGTTTTGACCAAAAATGATTTAGTAGACTTTGGTTCCATGTGGGAAAACAACACAGCAAAAAGCAGTGGTAGTTCTTTTTTTTTATAAGTGAATATTCACAAAAGTGTCTAAATTTAACAAAATAAAGACAAATATTTGAAAGAATGTATATAAATCAAAACCAGAAATGAAAAGATACATTTAAGGGAAATAAAACTATGCTTTATGCAGATTTTATCTATAAAAACAGGAATTAAACATACATAGGCTACTAAACAGGCATTTCATGTTAGTATGATCTAGTCTTCGTCACGTATGACCTGTTTTATCACATTCGATCTCAATGCAGCAAACAAATATGTTTCATAAAATCAAATATGGCATCAATCCATCAACAAGTTGACTTCATTTTTAAGTGGAAACAAAACCAACCCACTCAGAACAAACACTTTGGGGGACCAATTGAAGTGCTTTTGTGTTAAAGTAACAAATTAATGTCTTAGGCCCAGTCCCAATATTAATAAGAACACTTCCACACTTGTGCCTCAATTTCATGTTCCAGTCCAGTGGTGCGAGTACGTAGGGTGTCCTGATTCGCAAGTGTGAAGCTTGGACCCGCCCCTTTTGCTGAAGTGTGGGAATTTTAGGAAGAAGGTGCAAAAATGGCTAAACTGTCCTTTCCAAAAAGATTTATTTTCAAGTTGAAGTACCGAAATATTGTACATTTAATTTTTGAGTAAATATGAATAAAATCAAGCGCTTCTCTGTTGGAAAGATGAATTACATGAATGTTGAAAAACATTATTAACTGATAACAGTGCTGGTGTGTTGTCTGACGTGAAATGCCATCAACCTAATAACTTGTTTTAATATAATTTTAAGAGCAACATTTGTTACCGGCATCCTCACAGACAAGAATCCGTAGACGTGCCACTGGGCATTGGAGAGCGTAACAACGTCGCCGCCATACTGGATGGGTTCACGTTCACCAAACCCAGCTTGAGTCAACGCAGAGTTGTACAACTGATAAATATCTGTCCACGAACATAAACATTATAATGTTAGAACAATAAACTGATCATTTGGCATTGCTCTAATTTTATTTTGCATGGGTGGCAGCTCTTAGCTAACTATGAGTTTAGCACCAGTCACTTACATTTTAGCAGTTTGCTTAGCACAACTTACCTACCTGGGCTAACCACGGCTAACATAGCATCATCACGGTCCAGCCTTGTCATCTACTTTGCCTCCTCTAGATCCTGGCTCTCCAATTCCTGTGCTGCAAAAACTGGCGTTTGTGTTACCTAACATGTCGACTCCTGGGTTGAAGTTGTTCCAGGAGAATAGACTTGGTACCGCATCTGAGTGAACATGGCTAACACTTAACCCCAGCACGTAATTCTTAACCGTGAAGACGTGAGTACTTTCCCTCTAGTAAACAAGGGCCACTCCTCACGCATGATCGCCCTTAGACAATGTCGTCCTGCATCCACAGATGTTGGAAACAAATTGAAATGGAACTGCTTCAGAGCATGAGCAAAAAAACTTTTTACACCACAATGACGAATTTACTGTTAAAAACCCAGGAACCCGGGCTGCATGGTGGCACAGTTGTTAGCACTGTTGCCTCGTTGCACGAAGGTTGCAGGTTCAAAACTCTGCTCGGCTGTGGCCTTTCTGCGTGGAGTTGCGTGTTCTCCCCATGCATGTGTGGGTTTCCTCCGGGTACTCCGGTTTCCCCCACAGATCACAACATGCCCTGTAGGTTGTAAATTGTAAGTCGTTGTGGATAAAAGCGTCTGCCAAATAAATAAACATAAACATAAAAAGGTCCACTGGGCCTTACTTTGTACATAGCTCCCTGAACAGCCTCAGTTTGATGAAATAACATGTTTATGATTGATGAGCTAACAGCTAGTCCAAACCATCTTAAACTAAAACACGTTACTGATGTATTTAATCCCCACGGGTCATGATTAAGTTCAGATTAGCAGTTAGCTCAGCAAATCCGCTAAATGTTAACTCTATTTCTCTAAACATAGGCTATTCAGGAAGATTTTTACCACAACAAAATGAGTCTTTTTTAAATTAGTTTTACACTGAAACACCCCCCCCCCCCCATCCAAAACAACAACAATGCCCCATAAACACAAATAAAAGTGGAACATATTCCTTGTTAAAAAGAGCGCCCCTGGTGTTTAAAATGATTCAGAATGCATGTTTGTTCAGTTGAAATAAAAGAAAATAATTAGATTATTTATATGTACATGCTGTTAAAATTTTATCTTACTCAATACATTTGACATTTCTTGCCACCAATATGAGAGCTAAAAAAGCCAAAAAGGTAAATAAAAAGATTGTTTTAAGATAGCTGTGAATGAATAAATAAATAAACAACAAATAAATAAATACTTAAAAAATATTAAGTACAATAAAACATTTGAGAGAACAAGTTCAAAATATGAAAAAAAAATTTTTAAAGTGGTTGTTTAAAAAAGAATAAATTTGATTAAATAGCTTTTTTACAGCAGTAAGGCGTTAAAGGAGTAATATGATATTAATCTATGCATGTAGATTACTTTTAAATATCAGTTACATGCAGTAACATGTGTAAAATCATAAGATATATTGCTACAGCACAAAATAGCCAGGTTATGGTAACAGCATTATGTGCAAATTCAAACCACTGGTGGTAGTTTCAAGTGTGTATTAAAACATACTGTTGAGCAGCACTAGAAAGCACCAGGCACGTATCTGTTTGACTGGAGAAAAGCGATAAATTCCTGCTTCTTTTTGATCTGCCCCATCAGCTTGATGCTCATGAAGAGTAATATAATCTGAGGACAGATGAAGAGGAAAGAATGAGTTAGGTGTTGTTTCGTCTTCCATCTGAAAAGCTGTGAAATGGTTTGCAGACGTACCCAAAATATCCCACTTCCAAACTGTATGGCCATCACCAAGGAGAATGCCAGCTTCAGCTCGGAAACATAAATCGGAAGGCAAGGCTGTGGAATAAGAGACACATAAAGGCTTAAAGAAGTTGTCGTAAACAGGATATTGATCTGAGTGGAGAATTTGTCTTCCTCTGTGTCCAATTACACTCACTGGCTGCTTTATTAGTTATACCTGCTCGACGCTTGTTAAAGCCAACAGAGAAAGGTGCGACACAGAAAAAAGGTCTAAAAAGTGATGGATTACTGGGAAGAAATGTCCTTCTGATGGTAGAAATTGTAAGAAAATACCTAATTAGATTGTGTTTATTATTAAACATGCAACAATAAATCTGTTTTTTAAACTTAAAGTGTGTGTATTTTTCCTGGCGATACGGGGCAGTAGATACCTAAATTGTTGCAAGCAAGCAGTTGTTTTTTTTGTGTGTTTTGTTTTGGAGTAAAGCCTGGTTTATGCTTCTCCGTCAGCTCCGCAAGGGACAGACACGCACGGATTGACGGAAGCGTTTTGCTTTCATACTTCTCCGTCTCCTGGAGAGTGTTGCAAAGCAATTGCCCGGCAGGACAACAGAGGGCGTAGCGCTGTTCTGTGGTATCCTGTCATGTATCGGTCCAAGATAGTGTGTTTATATTGTGTTTTTGTGTATATAAGAGACTTTTTACACGGACATATCTGTCTCTCATTCTCCCACCTCTTCATGCGCTCCCCACCTCTAAACCCACGTTTCCTGTCATTTCCGTCCACAAACAAAACGCTTGCTGCGCATCTTTTCACTCCTCCAGTCACGGGAGGATGAAACGTTCATATTTTTAGAGTTTTTATGCGATGTATTCTTCAAGCTTCTCCGTGTCTGCCGCTAGTTAAACTCGGCTCTCTTTAAAATGGCGGCGCTGTAAACAACAGTGGCGTTCTGACCAATCACAAGCTTGCGTAATCCGTCTTGTTCGACGGATGTTTAAAAAAGTGGGCTCGACTCCGTACATACTTGCGTGCCTGCCGGAGCCCTACGCAAGGACGGATAATGGCGTTGCGTGTCTCCGCACTGACGCAGACAGAGAAGCATAAATCAGGCTTAAGACCTTACCAATGGGTGCCCATTAGGGTCAAAAAGCCCTGGGGAGTGCAAGCTTCAGCAAAATGAGGAGCACATCAGAGTCCCTTTCATCACTGGCAACAAGTGGAGGTAAATGTGTAAAACAACATTTAAGAATGGCGAGGGTTTTGTAACAGTTTGTTACAAATAAGTAAATGCATTTTGCCCTCATGGGCTCCCGTAGAAGGAAACATGGCATCTAATATGGCGTCGCCCTGAGACTCAAGACTCGCTCTCATGTATTTTAGACCAGATTTGTATGGTTATGCATTACAAAGCTGCCAATATTTTTCAACAACTGGGCATCATTTCATTCATTTTCAACAAAATTCTGATGGATATTTTCAGGTATTAATGGTAAAACTACACATTGTCTCTTTAAGTCCACTAAAGACTGTGGGAAAAAGTAACTTGACCTCATACTTGATAACTTGTTGCACCATCCGTGGTGGCAACAACTGTAATCAAGCATTTGTGATAACGAGTAATTAGGTCTGTCCAAATTCAGAGGCTGCATCATTCAAAATCAGCCTTTTAAGGCCAATTACATCACAGCAAAGCAACAAGGCTCAAACGCTATTCAAAATACGGTGCACAAACACGTCCTTGTGTTTTTTCATGTACTGCTGCTAATCCTGGTTTCCCAATGGATAAATAAGCGGTATGTGACGCAATATATGGAAAATGACCAGAGAATTGGAAGACCACCCGCAATTCTGCAAGTTCACACCATAACAAGTGAGGACAAAGATGGCCGCATGTATCCTAAAAGGTTTGTACTTTAAATTCTGTTCTGCATACCTTGGCTACATAGGCGTCACAGGTAATCAGATACTTTTTTAATAAGTTAAGCAAGTGGAAAATGGACGTGACTTTTATTCTGAAAGTTTTCATTGATTTTGACTGCTTACATGTTTTGACCTGACCTGAACTGCTGAGCATGACACGTTCTGGAAAAGTAGACTTGAAGCGTTAATTTAGAGGAGCAACGCGTACCTACAGTTTTGGGACGGGTCCAAAACACGATGATGCTTCACGGCCAGTGGAAAAACACCCATCCACTATTATAGCTATAATAGCGGCTAACTTCTGTTTAGTACCATCACTATTGCTGGGCAACAGGACAAATGCAGAAGGGGAAGGAGAAAATCTTTAGTCTAGACCTTCCAAATTCATAGTTGCTCATGCTAAGTGGTCAAGCAAAGGCCGGGCTACGTGTACCGGATAGGACAAGTCCTTACATGGTTGTTTCCCCTAAATATGAAGACAGCGTCTCACATCACTGGAGAGGAATGTTACCAACTCTCATTTAAAAAATGACACATTAAAGGGTTTCCCAGCATTAATGGCCTGTTTCAGGTCAAGGGTCAGAAATGATCCTTTAGCATTTTCTGCAAGAGAGCAAAATTAGTGGTTACATCAATTACAAGTTTTCTAGGTCCTGAAGCAGCAAAGCAGCCCCATACCATCACACAACCACCACTATGTTTGGCTGTTCGTATGACCTTCTTGTCCAAAATAGAACCAGGTTGGTTTGGAAGGCTTTGTTTAGCCGAAATTAATTTATCTGGGATAAACAACGATTTCTGACAGTTTCACCCAGAAAAAAAAAAACAGTTTCACTTTTAAGATGTAAAAATGTAAACACAATCAATTAGACTAAGCTTTACCTCTCGATAAACATACTGGTTCTTTGGAGCTCCGATTGTAGCACTGCCTCTTAGTCGAATCTGGTTGAAAGGACAAAATCCTATTAAATTTTTCAGGAAAAACAAGTTTGAACGACAACATATCACGCGCCCTGGGGCGCCTCTGTCAGTGCGCCCCAGGGCAGCTGTGGCTACATCGTAGCTCATCCCCGTCAATGTGTGAATGTGTGTGTGAATGGATGAATGATACACTGTAGTATAAAGCGCTTTGGAGTCCTTACTCTGAGAGGCGCTATACAAGTGCGGGTCATTTATCATTATCATTTAGGTTTTCATTAATCAAACTCCATCTTTTCCATAAATCCATCCACTCGAAAAATATTGATTTTAAAGCAATGACAATAAATATTAGGTCATTAAAAACAGTCTTAATGAGTGAAAGTCAATAAATGTTTGGTTTTTAGCACATGAAGGGAAATCATTGAGTTGACAAAGTAAATAAATGATTCTCACGCATTTTCCTGGATAGTGACAGTTACAGGAGGCGGGGATGGAAGCGCCCCAGTCCTTGTAGCCTTCGATGAGACCACAGCATTCAAACTGGGGGCGACACACACGAGAAAAAACAAGATGTCTAAATAAACATAGTGTTAAATGTTCATTATGGTGAGTCGTGTTTCCTTCACCTCTGCTTGTGGTTCTTTTATCTTTCAGTATTCTAAGTTGTTTTTGGTCAGCATGAAAGTGTCTGCATGTTTAGCTGCAACACCATAAGGCAGGGGTGTCCAATCCTGGTCCTGGAGGGCCGGTAACCAGCAGGTTTTGTGGTTTTCCTGCTTCAACACGCTTGATTAGCTGGTTGAATCACCTGTGCAGCAGCTCATCAGGCTCTGCAGAAGCCTGTTAATCACCTGCTGATTGAAATCAGGTGTGTTGAAGCAGGTTAAAACGAACACGTGCTGGATACCGGCCCTCGAGGACCAGGATTGGACACCCCTGCCATAAGGAGCAAAAGGCAAGTGAGATAAAGTAGGAATTTCCTTCAAAGACCAACATCAGCTGATGTAAACACTGAAAACAGCTGAATCATCTCGTTTTGTTAGATCTCAGTGCCGCCTTTTCTGATCTCGGTCAGATCAGGGCTCATGTCACTGTAAATAAATTCAGTTTATTACATGACATGCGTGTGTCATGGATGAAAACATAGGCTTTTAATTTCGTATTTTGCCAAGTTGCCTTTCTCCTCCATGTTTATTTCAGAGGCTGAGTCACATTTCAAGATGATTGATTTTCCAGGTCACATGCAGGAGGACAGAGGAGAGGAGGTGGCAGAAAATGAGGTTTTCATCCCTTACTTAAGCTTCCTTTGCCGTTTTATTTGCAGATGCCTTTTTTTCCCAGTGATTTAAAATATGGGAAAACATGCACGTTTTTGACCTGTGGGAGGAGACTAGAGTGCCCAGAGAAAACGCAAACATGCATGGAGAGAACGTGCTAACTCAACTCAGATCGGCTGCAGCCGAGATTCAGATTGCGACCTTGTTGCTGCGACGCAGCAGTGATAACATCCAGAAAATTCAGGAGACGCAAACCTTTTTATGATCTTTTTAAATTCTGTTTATTCTAATAAAGTGATGAGAAAAAGTAAATATTGACTTTTGTTTTTTGCTTATTTTCTGTTTTTCCTCATATTAAAATGCTTCAGATCACCAAAAGAAAACCGACTGATAAAAATTAAATAGAAAATGTGGTGTTCCAATGATATTTTTTAAGTAATTGACCCCTAAACGTATTAACTGGTTGTAACACCTTTGTATGCAACATCTGCAATGATGTGTGAACCTCCAGTTTAAGGTGAAAATTCAGAAATGGTCCTTCAACAGTTCCTGCTAGAGAGCAGTATTTAAGTTGTCTATGTCCCATAGCAGAAAAGCAGCCCCAGACCATCACACTACCACCACCATGTTTGATGCTGATGATGCTGCTTGTCTGAAATATAAGTTTAGTTTTAGTCCAGATGTAACAGAACAAACACCTTTTTGTACACCCCATCATGTCTCATTAGTCCACAAAATATTTTCCCCAAATCATGATGATCCAGATAAGATCAAGATTATTTTTTTACCTAACCCTAACTGCAAGGAGAAAATAACTATAACAAGGATTGCAGTTCCACCCTCATCCTCTAGGGGCCGGCTCCAGAAAGAAGCAAGTTCTCTTTGACTCCCATGTTAAAAATACCAACTTCACAGCAGAAATAGACATGTTTACAGTCTGGTTCGAATAAACATTTTAGGTTTAATATGTCTAGTTTAGCATCATGACAACTGATGCAGGGGAATTATTTTGTTACTAGTCTGTTTAGATGTGATTAAAGCTTTAAATTATAAACACTTAGGGGTGTGTCCTTTTGATTGACAGGTAGTAGATGAGTCATCAGTGTTAGCAGCTTGCCTGCTGCTTGGAAAGGCCTCAGCCTCACGTTAAACGTGTTCCCAGCCAGAAAAGAGAAGGAGAAAGCGGTTTTCTGGTGAAAGCACCCGCCCACCTTTGTTAGCTTCGGTTAGCTCAGTACGTTTGTAGTTACATCAGCTCAGAGTTTGATGGGTGTCAGTTATCTGCCTCCACTCTCACAGCCCCACTCTCTGCTCCATTTATATTTTTTTCCAGGAGTGACAAGACATGTGACACGGCCAAGATGGCAGTAGTGGGAATCGCCAGTTGGACGTCCAATTCAGTTTTTTGGAAACCAACGGGTGACGGTGCGGAAGGTTCGTCCGTTATATGTACGATCATTGTTGCTGTTGGTTTTTTCTGGTCATCTTGGCGTCAAAACTCTCCCATGATGCCCTATTTGCCTCATCTCTGTCGTATATTTCTTATATTTCTTTGGAATGAGGCATCGTGCGTTGCTTTTTAGAATATTTTAGCTGACTTCACGTTGTCATACAGTTTCTAATAAAGTTTTTTTTTTCTAATTCAAAAAATAAGGCCCTGATAAACTTTGTTTGACAGTGGAATTGATTTGCTGAAATGAAAATCGGGATGAATCTGTCGGGAGGAAAACCCCTTTTTCCGCAGCACTGTAAATGGCACAATTTGATGAAATCACACATTTCACACTCTAATCTCTAATGAATCCAAAACGCCTACAAAGTGTTCCTGAGCCTTTAAATGGTCTCTCAGTCCAAGCTGAATTACTGAAATAAACAGGCCTTTGCACCATATTCTAACCCTGTACTTGACATAACACCTACTCCCAAAAGTCCCCCCAGAGAACAACTTCAAATGTTCCCAATGCTGAAACAATAAAATAAAATTAAAAATAAAAAAAAAATAACACAGCTTACTTCCTCTTGAATGTTATGCAGTAACGTCCGGTTGGCTTTGATGGGTCCGCTGAGCGGCATCATGGACAGCAGCTTGGACTCCTCACGAACAACACGTTTCTAAAACAACATTTCATGATTCTGACCCGTAGGGATTTGTTTCAAGTCGTAAACACGAGTCGTTTTAGCACCCTACCTCATAAACGTCTTGGTAACTTAATGCTGTTCTGATGATAATTGTTTGACTGGCTGCTGCCATCCCAGCTGCATACTGCACACACAAAGGGAGATAACTATTCAGCAGGAGATTGTTTCAAAATATCCATTCAGTGATGCATATACACATAAAAGAGCAATATAAAAACATGGAGTGTTATTTCTACCAGAATTAAACACCATCTCTTTCCTTTGCAGGCTCCAAACACACCGAGCACTGAGAGCAGCAGGCAGCCAGCCTCGATGACGTACATCATGGCTACAGAGATACTGGGAACCATCTGAAAAACAAAACACTGTGTTATCAGGATGTAATGGAGCATGCAGAGCCTTTTCACGATGCTTCAATCTTTAGATCAAGATCCCGCAAAACACACTCTTCCAAAGAAAGACAGTGTAAAAATGCGCTGCTGTGGTGCATTCAGGGGATATTTATGGAAGGAGTCATTAATAATTCCTTAGCTGTCTCAGATAAATATCATGAGCTTCTGAAAGCACGCTGATCCAATCGGAAAAACATCCCCAACACCTTTTTCCTTACTCACTTTGCCAGTTTGGATGAGGTCCCTGTGCCATATTACGGTCATCCTCAGCATGAAGAAGCACAGTGCCTTGGGGAGAGAAAGGTAAGCATTTATTTGGCTTACAAACACATGAAATCTTTATGTGATTGTTTGAATATTCTAAATATGTAAAAATTATCATTTAAACCCCTGACTTTAGGTATTTCTTATGAATGTGAGCTCATTTCTTAAAGGTTATGTGAATTCATTAATTAAAAAAAAGAGAAGAGGCTCTTCACTAAAACAAACGAATGTTTGGCCTAAATGTGAGACTTAAAAAAATAAACAATTTACAGCATTTAAGAGAATTTCACTTTCCTGTGTAAAAATACAGTTAAATGGCGAGTTTAATGCAAATGACTCTTTCGTTATTATGTTTATTTGTCCAAAATTTGCATTTTACTCAAATTTGGAAAAAATGTTAGTTATTGAGATGTGAGTGGTAATTTTATTTTATAATATAGTAATAAAAACAACTAGTGATGAGAGAGAGAGGCCTCTTCGGTGAAACTGCATTAAAACCCTTTAGGAATGTTACCTACCATATGCACAGCATTAGCGAAAATAAACGGCCTTTTCAGGCTGGTTTTATCCGCCACCACGACCACCGAGCTCTTCTGCATCTTGGTGTCGCTGCTTCCGCCTCCACGCTTTAAAAGAAAAGCTTCCTTCTCTTCAGAAAAGGTGTTTTATAAGAAAATGTTAAATGAGCGAAGCTGCAGCGGAGGCAGTAAGGGCATCTATCCGCACTCGACGTCACGCCGATGTGGGGTCTGCGCTGCATTCAGGGATACTCGGAAATAATGGTTTCAGCGTGATTAACGTGATTTTGGCCGCATTAGCACGGCCCTCAATGAGGTTTGAAAATCAAAGTAGCTTCTGTAGTCATGTGCATTTATAAATCTAATGTGCTCTCCAATTGTGAACGAATTGATTTAAGATTGAATTGGTTTAACATTGTAAATGCTACGTGTTTTGAAGTTTTATCGAAAAAAAATCATTACATTGTACAGTTTTTCATATAAAAACAACCAACAGATTTGACACACTCACAAGAAACTATAAAGTGTAGGAGGCCATTTTAATATGAGGGTCTTATACTTTAAAATCCACAACACTGTTTTTTATTTACATTCAAACCAAGTATCCAAGCATCTGCTGTTATGAGTCATAATCCACCATCACTTAGTATTCCATGCAAGTGGTACAATCCTACTTCATCTCCCCCAAAGAATCACTCTGATTGACAGAAGTATGTATATATCTATATGGCCCTTGAGTTTATATTAGACAATCTCCCAGCATTACGTAAAAAGATCTATGATTTTGCAGCATTATAATATTTTATTCTGTTTAACTTTGACTTGTTTTTGTTAGGCTGAATTTAAATGTCATATTATTTATTTTAGGCAAAAACTTCACAAGTTTAATAGTTTAACCAAAATGTTCAAAAACAATGCTTGTCATTTTTTTTTTACCCATATATGTTTTTGTGATCCTACTAATCCCAAATAGCTATGGGAAAACCTAGATTTCACACTAGAAAATAAACTTGGTTGTCTGGAGGATATGGATTATGATCAGCTCAAGGGTGTATGTCACAAACCCCATTAAACTCCCAGAATGCAATGCACCACTGCCACAAACCCAGCTGCAACTCTCCTAGGCTGCAGCTCGTTTCTGTCTGTTGGGGAAAACGCTGCTAACAGATTTTGCTGAGTTGAGTTTACCAACGCTAAAGCAGAGAAATATTAAGATTTAACTTCTGAATGAAAATGATCTAATGCCAAAAAGGAAAAAGTAAACACAACTCAAAAATCTGCTTGTTTTCCTTTTGCTTTGACAGACTGAGCTCTTTTTCCACCTGTAGGCAGCTCAAATGATCAGAGCAGAAATAAACGAGCAACTTTTTCTTTGATGAAACTCAGGCGCTATCCCAGTGAGGCGCCTTCTGATCCCAAGCATTCGTGAACTCAGATTTCCCTGGCATTTTATCAACGCTACAGATAGTTGAGTCAGTGTACATTTTTATATTTACATGTGGATTTTCACTTATTAACTTAAAAAATAGATTGTATAGCCTCTAACAGTTGTAGCAGATTGTTAATATAAATAATTACTCAAATATATTACCACAGCCTGCAGGGAATTTGTTGAATAAAATCGAACTCACTAAAAACAAATAGAGAACTAAAAGAGGCTCAAGACTTTTGCAAAGCCCACTACCACCAGGCATTCTTTCCACCAGTGATATCCAATAATAATCAACTCGGTCTTTGGTTTGCATTTCCGTAAAGAAGCTAAAGGGATTTAAAAGATGAATTCTGACTGCATTTCCCAGAATGCAACTGTAGGTATGAGGCTGGGCTGCAAAGGAAGAACAGGTGGGGCGGGTTTCTATTGTTTCCACAGGTGGTGTGAAAGGAGAAAGACTCACGTCAGTCAGAACAGGAAAGGCAGACGAGAGAAAATATGCAGGAGTAAAGGAAGGAGAATCTCGGGGGAGGAAACTTGAGTGGGAATTTAACCAGCAACTCTCTCAGAAGGTGTCTTTTAATTTTATTTACTAGAAGATTTAGATTTTTCATCAACTACTGGAACACGTGCATGAGGACTGAGAGGATGGGATGTGTTTTCATGCTGTCTGCTGCTGTGGACAGAGAAGTGGGTCAACACCCGAGACGGAGCTGAAAGGAGAGTTTTGTCTCACTGAGCCAGAAGGACTCGACTGTCTGTGGACAAAAACAAAAAAGACTGGACATTTTTAGATTTAGGATTTTAACAAACAAAATGTTAGTCATTTGCAACTTGGTGTATTTTGAATCCTCATCAAAAATGTTTTTACTTGGAAAAATCTTATAGATTTATTTCCAAATTTTGAAAACCTTAAAACATCTCAGCTCTGATCTGTTTCAATTAAGACAACTGGACTAACTTGACTAAATCCACTCCAACTTTTTGATCAATCATCGCCCTTTATTTATATATTTTTTACAGTTTTGTAAACTTCAGCCTATCGACTCTTGACCTCAGGGGTCAAATATTCCAAGTTTCCAGTTCAGCCTCCAGAGGGATCATTCCCTTCATTCACTCTGGAAAAAAAGACACGAGTTGTCCTCCTATCATGCAGGCGCCAGGTCATGAGCATGATGACACTTTTGATTTCCTGTTTAAGATCATCCTCATTGGAGACACCAATGTAGGCAAGACCTGCGTGGTCCAGAATTTCAAGTCCGGGATGTTCACTGAGAAACAGCAGAACACCATCGGGGTGGATTTCACAGTGAGGACGGTGGACATCAAAGGCAAGAGAGTGAAGGTAAGTCATCATCCGTGATGTCTGTTTTTAGTATTTGTGTGGACACAAACAACAAAATAAAAGAAGAACAGACTGTTTTCATGTTGGTGCCCTGAACGTGTCATGAGGGCAACTTGAGCTCAATGAAAATCAAAATTTCTGTGTTTGCATTTGATCTAAACAACACAAAGCTGATATGTTTTATGTGTTTTTGCTCCATTTTGGTCACTGGTGTGTCAGATTAAATTTCTCTTAGAGTGAACGACGTCATAGCGAGGCGTCCTTTAGTTTGACTCGACCCAAAAGAAGTCATTCAAGTTTCTCACTTGAAGAACCTGTCGTTCAGGTTTCACAGAGCCGTTGTGCAGACAGAAGCAGGATCTGGAACGACCCCTCAGAGCTGCTGCAACGCTAGACTGAAGTTTTGTTGTCTTAAAATAAACAAATCGAGAAGTTCATTCATATTTAATTATCTAGATTTTATGTTTTTATATTTGCATCTGAAAATCAGATTTTGCACACATTCAGGCTGTAGTGGGTGAATGTGGAAGTCGCCCAAACTGTGTGGTTGAAGTTATTTTGACAGCTCATGTTTCAGTCTCCTCAGTGATCTTCAGCTAGGACCTGAGGCGATGATCTTTAGACTCATAAGATGCTGATCGTTGCACCAAATTCACGTTGTGACTAAATCTACATTTACAACACTTACTAAACACTGAAATGTGTCTTTAAGAAGCACAAACGCGTGTTTCTTTTATTCCTACGGTGTAAGGATTGTGAACTGTCAGCTGTTAAACCAAGCCTTACTTTCTTAAACAGCCGGCTAACAAATAAGATAAAGCAGTGAACTGGTTGGTCGAGTGGGACTGGTTGCTACAACTGTTAGATCATCAGGGATCACATTGAGAGATATTATAATGACTCTGGTTTTCTCTACAGGGAGACCAACAAGTATGTGCTGAACCCTCTGAGGTTCTGGTCAAACTCATTTCAGTCACTATTATTGCTCAAGTATGAAATATATTCAGAACAATCTAAGAAATGCGGGGATGCTCAGACAAAAGCTAAACATTGTTACCTTAGGATTTACACTGGTCATAAAAATGGGAACACAAAAATAAGACATCCTGAATGAATGAATTATTATTAAATACTTTGTTCTTTACATAATTAAATGTGCTAAAAATCACTCATATCAACAATGGAAATCAAATTTATAAACCCATAAAGGTCTGAATTTGGAGTCGCACTCTGCCACTTGAGTGAAAGCCTCGCCAGCATTCAGAAGTGACCAAACCATCAGCCAGAAAGCACAGGAACTGAGAAGTTGTCTGTGGTCACCACCTGCACCACTTCTTTATTGGAGATGTCTTGTTAGTTGCCTCTAATTTCCACCTGTTGTCTATTCCATTTGCACAGCAGCGGTGAAACTGTCCATCAGCGTTGCTTCCTAAGTGGACACTTTGATTTCACAGAAGTGTGATTGACATGGACTTACATTCCCTTTCATTTGTTTTTAGCATTTAGTGTTTAGTACATTTATTCTTGTAATCATTTAATAACTTTTATAAAATGATTCTTACTTCACCAAGTAAAAAAGAATTGCAAACATATTTTTTTTGTTTCATAGATACATATTTTTAATCTGGACAGAAAAAAGGTCCGAGGGTTTGTGAGTTGAAGCTTTGTGCAGTTTAGAAGCACATTATCTCTGCATCCAGTCATAAAACTGTTTAGTTCCTCCATCAGATGCCCTCCTTTGGTGATAAGCTGAACATTAGAGATCCAACTCAAAGCCACATCTCCTAAAATTAAAAAGAATACTTCCTCAGAGAATCTAACCTTCAGCCGGTAATCATTATCTCAGTTTGGCTGTCACGTACGGTAAAGGTTAAAAAAAGAAAACACACCAACATGCTAAGGTGGAATTTTACTTCAGTCTTCGAGTTATTAAGTTCCTTCGGTTCACTAAAATCTGTGGAGGTATTTGTGCACATTTCTACTGAGTTCATGAGCTCGGCCATGGACGTAATTTTCCCTTTGGGGGGGGGGGGGGGGGGGTGATCTTTACAGTATGTTCTAATGGGAAACAGGCTTCAACACAAACGGTTGTTTTCTGCTTGGTCCTAGAGCTCAACCAGTGTCAAGTTAATATAGCGTAATATTGTTTTTGGGTGGTAAAAAGTGTGGGGGTCAAAACTTGACTTTGGAAAAAGTGGGGGGGGACATGTCCCCCCGTCCCCCCCAAAAAAATTACATCCATGAGCTCGGCTAAATAAGACCAAATCATCAAGTTACCACCACCATGCAAAACCAACAGCTGGTTTGAGGTGTTTGTGCGCTGTGCATTAAGACTGAAGTCTTCTTCAGGTACAACTTCAAGATTTCTGTTATGTTTGTTTTTTAGAGATATGAGGATATTTAATCTAACAAGTCAAGCTAGTTTAATCTTTTTCTCTTTCCCTCCTGAGCAAGGGCTCACCAATGCCTAAAGTCAGAGCTTTGAAAGAATAATTTCTATAGATGGGAACAAACTTTTCATGTAACTTGGGTCTGAATTTAAACAATGTTTCCTGTCACCGAGGACCGTAACTTTATTTTTCTCTCATTTTAACTTGATACCAACTCATTGCTGTTATTTTTAACACGTGTTGTACAGATGCAGGTGTGGGACACAGCTGGTCAGGAGCGGTTTCGTACCATCACTCAGAGTTACTACCGTAGTGCTCACGGTGCTGTGATCGCGTATGACATCACTAGAAGCTCGACCTTTAACTCGGTGAGCCATTGGATCAAGGAGGTTGAGCTTTATGGAGCAGCTAACGTGGTTCTGGTGCTCATAGGTGGGTGTGATCTGAAAGTGGTGTGTGTGTGTGCGTGTGTGTGTGTGTGTGTGCGTGTGTGTGTGTGTGTGTGTGTGTGTGTGTGTGTGTGTGTGTGTGTGTGTGTGTGTGTGTGTGTGTGCTCGTTTGAACATTTAAAATCAAATAAGTTCCGCCTTTAAATGAAAATCACAGTAAGATGTAAACTATTGACTGACTACAAAGACAAATCTATAAATGCTTCCCTTCCAAACGTGGCCTCAACATTTCTTGCAGCTTTGTTTTTGCAACGTGCATCTTATAATATAAATGAATAATGATGATTTAAGCAGAATTGTCAGTGCCAACAGCTTCCGGATCATCTTCCTTCAGGTAACAAATGTGACTTGGAGCAGGAACGCCAGGTTCCATTTGAGAAGGCCTGCAGCCTGGCGAAGGAGAGCAGCATGCTCGCTGCTTTGGAGACGTCTGCAAAGGTGATGCGCATAAATAATTCTGAACACAACGCAGGCATGTGTACAATGGGTTGAATTGATCACTAGAAGCTTTTTGTCTGTTCAGGAGAGTCGAAATGTGGAAGAAGCCTTTCTGATGATGGCCAGAGAGCTGATGTCTCGCAATGGCCTCCAAGTCCAGCAGGGAGAGACGGAGAGCTGCAGCGCTCCTCAGATTCACCTCAGAAGCAACTCTCGACCAGTCGAAGTTACCCACGTAGCTGCTTACAAGCCACCTGAGAAAAAGACATGCTGCTGATGTGGGAACGGAAAAGGACTGATGATATAAATCAAAAGTAAACAAGGACAGTTGTGGTGGACGATTGTTTTTAGTTATTGGGATTTTTGGAAAGAAATGAATGAAATTTCAAAACAGGGAAGTTATTTGATGATGCCAAGGACCAGAGGATATACAAGTATTGAGAAATAAACGCAGGAGTCATCGTCACCACACGGATCTCTGATCAGGAGAGTCTCCTTATCCCCTGGACAAGGACTGATTCTGTTCTCTGATGTCATAAATGCTGAAAGGACTAGAAACATCTTATTTAGTGAGTTTCTGATGCTAATTCAGATCTGAATTTCTTAGAAAAAAATGTTTTGTTTCCTTTTAGCACTTACTTGCCTCGAAAGTGTTGAACCCAACACAACCAAAGGATTGCAACAAGACAAGCATGTATGAGTATTTTCATGTTGCCATTGTTTGTAAAGCTATTTTATGGGGCCTTGTTTACATAAATAAAAGAACATACACGTGGTTACATTTAGCTTCTATTAACAATAAAAATTAGATGGGAAATTAACTTTTCGACTGCATTAATTCTGGAAATTCAATATTGGGTCAAAATTATGAAACTAAATTAACTTCATTACAAATTATAAATGAAATTTAAAACTATATTTAAAATTAGAATCACATTAAAACTCACCAAGAGTAGATATTTTAATAAAATCTAAATATAAAAAGTTTAATGTAAATATGTAGAGACAACTTTAAAGGTGCAACTAAATATTCTGAATACAATCTCGACAGTTTATTACAAATGTTTATGATTTAATCGAAATATATCAAATTCTAAAGTTAAATGTAAACTTTAACTCATACATTTATGCAAAAACAGTTGTCTGTAATAATTTAGAATCAATTCTAAATAAAGAGCTTAAAGAGCAAGTCACCCCCAAATCAACTTTGGTTGCTGATAACTATATAAATGTGTGTCTAATCGTGCTGTAGACACGTGTCGTCAATAATTCGGCACTTTAGTGCATCTTTGTTAAAATTTAAATATTCTGCCTAAAACTGTCAGTGTTGTGTCATCGTTGGGTAAAAACTCCGCACTGCATTTGCATATAAATCTGCCATTGCTATTGGCTAAGAGGTACACTATGACATTTACTGGTACACTATGATGTCACAATGCCGTTGTGAGCCTGTGGCCGTTTTCGAGATGAGCCAGTTCTGCGCAGATTAGATCAGCGGTGATCGGCGCGCAGCGCTTGCCGGTTAGATTTGCGTCCGACTTGCTCTGACAGCATGCATACGTAGGCAACGATAACCTCGTGAGATCAAGACGGCCGCAGATTATGGAGCAAGGTGCTGCAGTTGCTCTCCACCGGCTGCAAAACCTAGGGGATGACGGGAAACGCCTGGCTCTCACCTGATCTAAGATCTGATTGGTTCATATTTTGATCCAAACATCCGGTGGTAGAACATGAAGTGTTAGTTGGTCACATGTATTCTGTAAATCATGTTACGTTGATGATGACAACAATAGAGAAATGTGTTTTGTGTTCTTTTGTCACGTTTCCTATGAGCACACTAAAGCTACAGCTGATAACCTTTACTTATTATTACAGTCATGTCTTCATATACAATATATGATGTCCACAAGCACGTGGGGATGTGTTTCAGCTGCTAACAGGCACCAGAATTACAATAGAAAATTAAACAAGTGTGAACGCTAACGCGATACATTCATCCATCGTCACCCGCGACCTACACATGTAGGGAAATCTGTTCGACTTAAATGCTGGCTTTCAGTCACTCCCCCCGCTGCTTTCGTCTGCTGGTTTCCAGGCAAGGCGCTGCTCAACTCGAACAAGGCCTGTGTGTGTGTGTGCGTGTGTATTTGTTAGTTACTCCGCCCTCTCTGTCTGCCAGGCAACAGCATTTGTTGCATTTTTCCATAAACCGTTCCATAAACCGTCTCCGTCCCTCACTGACCCCTCACACTGCCGCCATTCTCGTCCACAGCCTCGTCACCTCCCGTATCGACTATTGCATTTCACTTCTTTATGGTCTCCCCAACAAACTCCTTCATAAACTGCAAATGGTCCAGAATTCAGCAGCCCGTATTATCACCAGAACCCCTTCCTTTCACCACATCACCCCGGTTCTCCAGCAGCTTCACTGGCTCCCAGTTAAATTCAGGTCCATCTTCAAAATTCTCCTCCATACCTTCAAAGCAATCCACAACCTCTCTCCTCCATATATCTCAGACCTTATAAGTATTCACACCCTATCCCGTCACTCAGATCTTCTTCTTCCATCCATCTTGCGGTTCCTTCTTCCCGTCTCGCTACCATGGGGAGCAGAGCTTTCAGCCGCTCTGCTCCCCGTCTCTGGAACTCACTTCCCCCAGACATCAGGAACATCGACAGTTTTACCCTTTTCAAAACAAAACTCAAAACACACATGTTTAAATCTGCCTACAACCTCTGATTTTATTGAACTGTTTCTCTCTTTGTTTTTTCTTGTTTGGGTTTTATTATTGTTTTATTGTATTTTATCACGTGTTTTCTGTAAAGTGACCTTGGGTGTCCTGAAAGGCGCTTTTAAATAAAATGTATTATTATTATTATTATTTTTCAAACATGAAGTGGGAGTGGAGTAAGACTCTGCAGGGGGTGACTTGCTCTTTAATGTAAATATTTGAAATTAAAGTTAAATGTAAAATATTTTAAATCAAATCTTAATCTTAAAAAATAACATTTTGATTCAAATGTATACATTCAAACTTAAATTAAAACATCTAGAATCAAGTTTAAATAAATGAAGTTTAACACTCAGAAAGAAATCCATACATTAAGTTAAATCTGAATATTTATAATCAAATCTAAATATTTTAGACAAAGTACAATCTGAGTGTTCAAATCTATATTTAGTCTTAGCAGACCATCATAAAACAGGAAATTTACCAAAAGGAAAGTGGGGTAAAGACATCAACAATTCGATGTCTCAGTGCCCTTTTTTGTGGTAACTTTGCATGTTTCCATTCAATCGTGGATCTTCTATCGATGTTCCTGGCTTGGTTTTCCTGACATTGATAAATTACCAAAAAAATGGACTTAAAGAACATAGAACTCTAAAACCTGATATAGAGGATCTCCTCCTTTCTTTTATTTTGAAAGGACACTTATGTTTGTGTAAGCCTGAAACATTTACTTCAAACTCCTCCACAATCAAATGTAAATATTCAGTTTTCTATATTTTGATACAATCTAAATATAAATCACGTCATTGATATTTAAGCTAAGTCTGAAGGCATTTTTTTAAAAGCATTTTAGACAATCTTGAACAAAGGAAATCCTTCTGAACTATATGAATGACATCATGTTCTTCACTGCAAAGGATGCATGATGTCAGGATTTTGTCAGAGTAAAAATGATCTTTGTGAGCGTATGCAGTATTTTCACCTAACCACTAGATGGAAGTTTACTCAATCTTTTGCTGCAAGTTGAATTTTTGCATTTTGCAAACAACCTTATCTGAAATGTGTGCATACACAGAAACTGTAAACTAAGTTTAAATGCAAGCTGAGAGACATAAATAAAAATCTAAAACATCATATTTCCTTGTGTTTTGAGCCAGAATAGCAGACTGAAACACACTGATGTCTCATCTACATTAGTTGGTTTGTTGGACAGAAGTTGGACAGGTTGAATGAAAGATCTGTGCAGTCTGACAAGCAATTAATGATTAATATTTGATTCTTAAACAATTCCGTTTTCTGACCACTAAAGATTGTTTATCATAAATGCTAAATGGGTGCAGAAAAGTGGATTCAGAGGCCAAAAGACACAACATATTTTTTTTTTAATGGGACTCAGTGTTTATATAATAAACATTTTATGATATTAGAGGTAATAAAAACTATTTTAGTCAGATTTTGGCCAAAATCTCAGAAAGTTCTTTTATTTATTTCACATCTTCATTAAAGAAGGTGAGTCACTGTTGGAAGCATCAGCTTTGTCATCGATCATGGCTGAAGTTTATTCTCCAAAGGTTTTGGAAAAACTCTGTAAAACATTTGTTCAGTGAAAAAAATCCTCTTAATTCCCAGAAATAAAAGCAGACAATAATATAGATTTATGTAAAAAAAAAAAAGAAAAGAAAAGAATAACCAAAAGAGACTTTTTACACCAAGGTAATCAAAAATAAGACAGTGGAACATTTCAAGAACAGGTTTCCGATTAAATAAACTGTTGTTGCAAAAGAAAAAAAAAAACAAACAAACAAAAAATTGTGGAGCCACCTTGTTCTTTGCTTGAAAGTAAAATATGCAATTAGATGTTTTTCATCAGAACACCCAGCATCAGGTTTATTCCACCCAAGCAACCAGATAATGCTGATGAACTAAACATTTACCCCCAAACTCATCCCACAGTAAGTTTTCTTTACACAAAGCACTCAGTCTGCTCTGCCATCATTGATCTCAGACGTCCACCTCTACATTTCTCCCTGAACTGAACCCATTTGGGCCGCTGATCCTTTCTAACTCAGTCTGATGATCTCAAACTTGTTGTCCTTCTTCTCTTTCAGGGGCTGTGGTAGAAATCCCACCTGTCCCTCACCCTCCCCCATCACTTCTTGTACCTCGTTCTCCAAACCTCCCTGCGCGGCCTGTCCAGTGCCCGTCCCTTCTGTTTGTTTGTCCACAGGACATTCACCATTGTAGGTTTTGACGTAGTCCTCCACGTTCCAGCCCGTGAACTCTGGCGGTTCGGAGCAGATCAGGCCTGAGTAATGGACATCGGGGTGGTGCTTGAGCCAGTAGATCAGGTAGTGGATGTTGTAGTCGCAGATCCAGGGGTTTTTCTCCAGCGAAAGCTTCCGTAGGAAGTACAGATCCTCCAGTACGCCGTACTGGAAGTAATGGAGGCTGTTGTTGGACAAATCAAGGTCACGGAGGTACAGCAGCCCTGCAAAAGCAGCTGGAACGCAAAGAAGTTAAGGTTTGGATTATATCTTTCAACATGCACAAACATCCTCAAAACCTTATTTATTTAGTGACCATTTCATTAACCATTCATTTCCTTTTATTTATAAAATAAATGCCACAGTCCTCTACCAGAAAAGGATGGATTGTCTTGAGTGGGTTAGTTATGACCAAGGGGCAAACTGCCTGCCAAAAGTGGAGCCAACGCAGAAGTTTCCAAAAATGCAGTTCCCCTCACATCCACTAGGGGCTGGCTCCAGAAAGGAGCCATTTCCCATGACTACCAAGGTGAAAAGACCTACTTCAGATCGCTGTAAAGACTCGGACACCAGTCAGTGACTCGATGCAACCTGCTGGGTTCCTAATATAGGAAACTTTTTACTGATTGGCTTCATGAACTGAACTGTATTGGAATGTTTACTTCCTGAAGTGCTTTGAGACGACTTGTCGTGATTTGGCGCTATAAATAAACAAACTGAATTGAATTGTATTTGATGCATTTTATTAACTGGGCTGTACCTCTGGTATCAGCTCTTTAGCCCAGATCACCAGTCTATTAGAGATCCTAAAAAATGAGCAATAAATAACCGTTTACCTGATAGTTCCATTTTCTATTTTCTTACCAACATATCTGTTAATCAAGTGATGCCTGAGCCATCATGTTTTTCATTCATCATGTGATGACAGCTTCCATGACAGATTTAATACATTCATCTTTAAAAGAAAAGGCAAGTACCAATGAGCTAAGCTCATCCATCCATCTGTCCAGTCAGCTGTTTGTCCATCTATGTGGTTCCTCGCCTGTTTGTTTAGACATGTTTTGTGCTGAGTTCATTTCAAGGTCATTTTATTAAACAGAAATTTGTTAAAAGATACGTTCGTTAGTACAGAAATTGATCTTTTACAACAAGGGAGAAGAAATGTACTTTGTGGGCCCTGAAGGTAAGTTTGAAGGCTTACCATACCTAACACAAGATGCCACCCAGCTCCTGTCATCTCCCGCCTCGATTACTGCAATGCCCTTCTAACTGGTCTTCCAGCTTGTACTGTGAGACCTCATCAAATGATCCAGAACGCAGCAGCGCGTCTGGTCTTCAATCAGCCAAAAAAGCAGCTGCATGCATCAAATTCAAATTGCTAACACTAGCATACAAAGTCCGAGATGTTACGGCTCCCATCTACCTGAATCCTCTTGCAAAGGCTTACGTCTCGGCCCGGCCGCTCCGGTCATCACAGGATCGTCGGCTAGCAGTGCCTACACCACGCTCAGGACAATCCAGACTCTTCTCATGCATCGTTCCACAAATGTGGAATGACCTTCCAAGCACTACCAGAACTGTGGCTTCCTTTTCAATTTTCAAGAAACTCCTGAAGACCCTGCTCTTCAGAGAGCATCTTCTTAACTAGCACCCTCCCTGCACCCGTGCCCCTCTCTACTGTCCACTCCTTGTTACCTCCTCTCCATGACTGATGTCAATGTTGTTGTTGTTATTGTTGTTGTTAGCCTCAATGGCAATATGCCGATTATCACTTGTAAGTTGCTTTGGACAAAAGCGTCTGCTAAATATATATATATATATATATATATATATATATATATATATATATATATATATATATATATATATCTTCTGTATTTTTGTTGATTGTGAATCCAGGACTGGCTGGAGACACTTTATCTCACAGCTGGCTTGGGAATGCCTCGGACTCCCTTTGGAGAGGGAGGTCAGGTATCAGTCTCTGTGACCCTATGACCCAGTTTTGGATAAGCAGCATAATCAGAAAGAATTTCTGTTTTTCTCATTATTTTGGTAACATAACCTTTTCTTTTGTTTAATTTCTCAAATAGAACTCAAAACTGACTCCAACTTTGAGAACTACAGCTTTGTGATGAAAAAGAATAAAACAAACAAATTGTTGGAAAAACATTTTGCAGAAACCCAAACACACTGTTGCTGGAAACAAAACACCCAAATGATCACAAAGCCATCAAACTTAATATAAATAATGAGCTCTATCTCCCCCGTCTGAAGTAGGAGAGCATCATGTCAAAGCAATTAAACATGACCTCAGCTGAGCATTTTTACTCTGAAAAATTCCCCAAATATCAAATTATCAGAACTGTTTTATCTATCAAATATGTTTTGAGAATAATCAGTTTTTAATAACAGTTTTTCTAAAAGGTCAGTGACCGTCGATCAGTTAAAAAACAACAACAGTTAAGGATTACGAGTCAGCTGCAGAGTCCTAAATAACCACAACAAACACCTGCCCAAAAAATAAGAGCAGCTGCTGTGAACAGATTAATAGACAGGGACTTACAGCTGGGCTAATGAATTCTCCGAAAGCTTCCAGAATGGTCATTAATGTGCTTTTCTTGTGTGCATGTGAATGCGTGTGCCAGTGTTTATAGAGGGAGTAATGGGGCAGTTTCTCGCTGTCCAGCAGCCTCCAGCCCAGCTTTGATGCTTAAAGAGCGGAAGAGGGGAGGAGGTGGGAGAAAACGTTTGTGAAGCTAACAGATGTTTTTCTTACATCCTGGCTCAGCAGTTCTCACTGACTGTTCATATGGATTCTGGAGCCACTGTGACCCAAAACAATACTTTCACAGGATTTTGTTCCCCAGGAGAACAAATCTTATACTGTAACTTTATTTGAGTAATCGATGATCATTTTCCATAAGAAAAAGGTCTTTGTACACGTCCTTGAGGAACTCCACACCTGAGATCCTTTTCAAAAACAGTTGTTTCTTTTCCATTTTTTAAACTGTGGGACTAGAAAAAGTTGAAATTACATTTAGATCATCCTCTACACGCCACAACGATCTAGCACAGGTTTTAGCCAAACAAGCTCAAGACTAAACAACTACACATCCGTTAGTAATAAATCAGGACTCTTGATGTTGCACATCTTTTCATCTCCTGCTTTTTGTGTCATCCTCCACATGAAAGGAACAAATAATCAGACTGTTTTATATTTACTACAAATGTGAGGGTTATTAGAGCGAGCTGCGAGGACTGAGACCACATGTCTCCAGGTAGGACGCAAGCTCTCATTTACAGTTTCTTTTTCAGTTTACAAATGGTTTTAGACACGCTGGGGTGAGCCGCTCTAGATTGTTTACATCTGCTGAAGCATTTTTTGGGAAGGATTTCCCTCTTGGGCAGGAAAACTTGACATCATTAGGCTTATGAAGAGTTGCTCAGCTGCTGTAGAAGAATGTTCAGTCAAAGAAAGTTCTCAAAACAATTCTGAAACACAAGATTTTCTCACTTGTCATTAATTTATTTCTAGTCCCCATTTTGATCTAGAGCATGTGTGATATTCTAATTTCTTTAAAAAAATTATACCAATGTGGTTTAAAGGTTGAATAGGGAACTATTTAATAAAAAGCTATATTTTTAAAAATAATACCTTCATGGGGCGCGGTGTGCAGAATGAATGTACAGTATTTCCTTTAAAAGCTGTATTTTAATAAAAAATTTAAAATAAAAAAAAATATTTATTTTGACAGGCATGACACTGGGTTTATGTTTACATCTACCAGCCAATAGAGGGCACCACTACGGGTCCGCTCGGCACAGCGAGGCTGGATGTGGAAAATGATGAACTCAACAAGTCAGTCAGCTGCTTCTGAACCCAGAAGATGTTGTTAGCCTTCTCAGAAGAGGAGCGATCGTGAAATATCTAGAAACAGAATTAGTTTAGGTGAAGCCTACAACAGATGGACCCAAATAAAAAATGTCACGTATCGGCAGCAAACCTTGTTCTGTTGTTACAGCTACAACCTCCACACACTAGACGTCGCTTTGGTGTTCACGTTCCATATTCAACCTTTAATAGTTAGGTTATTTGTAAGTTGTCTTAAACACATCATCCTGTCCACATTGTGACCAAATAAGCCAGATGAGATCATTGAAGGTGGGGAAGGAGGGCCACTGCAACCAAAAATTTGACTTCTGTCTACTGGCATAAGAATGTCTTCATTGCTGCGTTTTGAATAAACAACTCAGACCTCCATCTTGTTTTCGACAGACTATAAAAAGCAAAAGAAAATCACAGGAATTATGATATCTTTAGTTTCTGTTTCTGTTGTTAAAGGATCATCAGAGGTTTTTAGGAAGCATGAACAAGAAGATCCAAATGACATTTTTCTGTGCTTTGACTTCTTTGCTTCAAAATAAATCAGATGCAGGATTACTCCGCCTTCTGAATGATTCATTTGGGCCTGCTTCCCTCCTCTGCAACGGGAAGCGCAACATTTCCAATATTTACTACTTAAAAAAAAAACCTTCAAGAATGCAGCCAGAAGAAATATGTTATATTCCACATTAAACTGAGAGGCAGCAGTCTGCTTTGTTTCTGCATTTACGTGCATAATGCATGTATTTTTTCAGTATTTTCAAAATATTTTAGTTTTGAACCAGCTGATTAAGCATGGAGCAGCCCTAACAGATTTAAAACTGAAGAAGAGAACGGTTTGATAGCTGGGATTATAAAAGTTGAGAAAATGCATGCAGGGATGTTCCTGTCTCTGCGTGCACATGCAGATTCAACCCTAAAATCAGATCTTTGTGCACAACTGACTGTTACCTGTCTCGATTTTCTGCAGGTTGTTGCTGCTGAGGTTAAGCAGCTTGAGGTCTTTGGACAGCAGGAATTGTTTGGGCCTGAGGTGTTTGATGCTGTTGTTGGACAGATTTATCTTCACGATCTCCGATGGAAGCTCGGGTGGGACATGATTCAGATCTGAGGAGGGAAACAGGAAGAGGAACGTTCAATGCTGAAAGCACGAAAGGAAAGTTTACTGTTCGTAAAGTGAAATGTATATTGTTCCGCTCCCCCTTAAAAAACAGATATTTCCATCAATACAGGAAAAAATATGCCACAGTGTCTTTTATAGTTCTGGAGCAGATGTGCAAAACACATGAGAGCTGAACAAAAACCAAATCAGCATGAGTCGGAAATTCAATCTGTCTGCATCTTATGTTTTCAAGATGTTTAGTGGTGTGTGTGTGTGTGTGTGTGTGTGTGTGTGTGTGTGTGACATTTTACATTTTCAAGATGGAGAACAACAAAGGATGACAACATGTTCAACAATATTCAACTGGTGCCACAGGAAGTCATCTTTTCCTTTCACGTTTTCTCATTACACATTTCTATCTAATCTACAAACACAAAAGGACTGAAAACAAAACTGTGACTGCACACGGATGTTTAACAGGTTACGAATCCATTTTGTGGTTTGTTTCACCTGTCAGCTGGGATGGCAACGCTATAGGAGCGTGAAAGCTCACGCGTGCAGCAGCAATCATGTCCTGTTTAAACCGAGTAGGTGGGCTGTGCAGCATGCATCATTTGTTTCTGAAGCAAAACGGATGCAGATGAGGGTGAGAATGTTTAGACTGTGCCCTCAAACACAATTATTTATTTTTTTTTATTTATAAGACATCTTAAACAATAAATTGATTCTTTTTCACATTCAGATAAAAATAAATCTGTTTTAAAAGTTTCCTGCATGTATTTATTTACACAGGCTGTCTATATTTTGCAGAAACGGATGCTTGTGGACACTTTTATGGAGCGAATGTCTTTGTCTACCTGGTTTATTGGTACAGATGTTAAAATGAAGGCTCGTTAACGTAAATCTGACAGAAGATAACTAAACACAAGCAGACGAAGGGAGGAACAGAGCTCTTGGTTTCTTGTTGCGAGTTATCAGTCGTGCAGTGAGAACGTTAATCCCCCTTAAATGATCCTAAGTGAGCCCCGGCTCGCCTTTACGTGTGTCTTCAGCTTAGGCTGAGTAGATCTCCAGCTTTAAACGATTTTGGCACGACAACCCGAAACTCATATTCCCAGGCTCCTTTGACAGACTTCATCTTCCTGAGCCAAAAGCAACTTTTTATTTTTTCCTGTCCAGGGGCGATACATCTGTGGTCCTCTGTGTTTTACAGTGAAGGAGGTTAATCCTCAATACCCCGTTCTCAGCAGAGACAGAACTGCATGACTAAATACCGGAGCCAAACATGAAAATGATCTCAGAACCTGTTGCTGCAACTTTTGCTTCTTGGAGATAAATCAGCAAGTCTTTGCAATATCTTGGGACTTCTTTTATTTTATAAAATCTTCAGCTGCTTCAACAAATGCTAAAACACACTTTTAACAATGAGACAGATGAATGAATGAACATAAGAGAGATAACATGGAAAAGTCATTGCCAGTCATTCACAGCTGGACTTGGACGCTACTGGAATCTGCTATTATCATTACTTTAAAGATACATCTACTTCTGTAGGAATGTTCGGTCCAAGAAATGGTCATGTTAAATGCAGAGAGCCTTTAAAGGGAAGCTAGGCAGTTATGCTTGCATTTAGCACCCCCTAGTGTCCATAATGAATCCTCTGTGGTTAAACCAAAAATGAAACCTATCTTCTCGCTGTGCGTTTGTCTTTTTAACACCTTAAGCCGGGCGTACATTGTGCGACTTTTTCACTTTTTTGAACCGATTTTCCACTCGTGCGAGAATCCACAAGATCGGGGCGAGTTTTGCACCCAGCTTCGTGTAGTGTACAGGGGGTTACAAGGGGCGATTTACACCACGTGACCAGCTACCGATCAGCAATCGTGAGCTCGCACGGACTTCTGGCGTGTTTAATATTTTGCTCGTCCTTCGTGAGGGTTGAAGCGGCGCTGCGAGCAGCTGCGACCCAAAAGGTATCAGAACCGCTCACGGCGCATGCGCAATCCTGCATCAACACTGCTCGCCCGCTAATTCCCTAACAACACACGTTGTTCGTTTTTGTTTCTACACATTTTTTTACTCACAAAGATTGTCAAGAAAGCGTGTTTGTCGTGTTCATGTCAAATTAAACTTATCACAAAACACAGATTTACTTTCTTTATTTCGTTTTCCTCATCCAACCCCCATAAATCCCTGTGTATCCTCCTGCAGCACTCCCGAAGGACAACAGGCAAAACAAGAGAAAAAAGTCTGACGTGTTGTGTAACAACTGCTATTTTTAGCATATTTTTTAGGGCCGACGTGTTGCTATCAGACTACAGTGTGAGCAGTCAGGTCGCATCCGAGAACTGGGTCGTACAGTGTGAGCGCATGACTCGTGAGATCTGCCCTGAGAGGAAGTCTTACAGTTTGAGCTGAAGCTGAGTGCTACAAGTGAAAAAGTCGCACAATGTCCGTCCAGCTTTAATCTAACAGCTGACATGTCTCCCAGCCTTCATTAGTGTCTACAGCAGTGGTTCATCACTAAATGAGCTGTGTTCATGATCGAAAACATGCTGGAACCAGACTGTAGTGCCAGGTATACCAGCTCAGTTTTTTTCTAAGCCCAACAGACCAGACCACAACTCAGAAGTTGTGATCTGTCACCTTTGGTCTTTAGCCTGGTGCTGCACAACCAGTAGACTTTGGTTGTGCAATGGCAATTTTGCTAAACAAATTAGCTTAATATTTTTTCATAGTATGGCGCATTTATTGTGGAGATAAAAAAATGAAAAAAATTAAATAAAATGATTCTCTCGCATTTGTTTAAAAACCTCCAACAATGACACATTTCGGTCAGAAAACTTCATCTGGAAGTTCTTATGGAGAATCGCAGAGGTAGGACCCCCACTGTAATTAATGGAAAATAGAGCAGAAAAGGCTAAAGAAGCCAGACTTTCGTCAGCTTGGGACATGTCACAAAATATTAATATGTTAAGCCCTTTCAAGTCCAAAACACAGAAAACATATCTGAATATGATGCACAGCAGCAGCACACTGTTACATTCACACATCAAATAAGTCGTTTCATTCATCCATTCGGGTCGAAACGGAAGCAAGACCCGGAGTTATTACTGGTTTTAAAAAAAGAGAGGAAAGAGGTGCAGAGACTGATGGGATGATCATGCTGTGGGAAAATCCGAAGGACCTTATATGGTGGTTTAGATAAAGAGCTGATTCAAAAGTTTTACCAGAGAGCAAAAAACAAATAATTAGGAAAATATGCTAAAAGCTTCCTCAAGCATTCAGACACAACAGACTCGTTATTGTGTGGTTCTGGCTTGTCGGGGCTCTGTGAAGGGTTGCTCCCTCTGATGGGTGCAGAGGCTGGTTTATAGATGGACAAGGAATCAACACAGACACTGTGTCTGAATGCTGTGTGATGGATTTAATGGGCTGAAAGAAGGGGGAGAAATGGAGGGAGATGAGACAGAAAGAAGGGATCCATCTTATTTCTTTAGGATCTGTCATCTCTGTAATGTCCAGCAATGGTCAGTTTTTAGGTACAGTTTGATCATTCAACATCTGGTCAAAAAGGAGACACGAGACTGCATGTGTTCCCTTTAAATCGGCCTGCCTTCATCCCATCAGCTGGAGCTCAGAGTATCTGCAGCTCTGAACACATGATAACGAATTGTCAACAATAATGTTCTCTCCTCAAGGTCCAGTCTTTCAGGATTCTCCATGCCTCCATGTAAGGAACACTCGCAGCCCGGATTAGTTGCTAAATCAAAGAATGATTTCCTAAATCAGATATGAACTTCTACAGCTTATAAGCAAGATAATCATTAAATAAACGTTTGTTTATTGCTACTTTAATGATAATATAATGAAATGCTTTCATTAATCTGTACTTAGGTGATTGAAGTTTGAAATGAATGTTATGTTATGATTACAGTGATTGATATATGTTTCAGCATGTTGATATGGCAAGGTCATAACATTTGCACTCACACAAGGACAAAGTAAATTTAAGTCAAACGCGTGACACATAGATAGTCCTTTACCCCAGATCAGAGCATCTGGATCAAAGAAGGCGTGTTTCTGAGACTCTTGGTAATATTCCTCAACTTGTTAACCTCTGGTTGGCTACACAAATCATAACATGAGAACATTAAAACCAGATCACTCTGGGATTCCTCAGTTCTTGAGAAAAGCTTCAGACCGGCCATCTGAAGCAAAACCCTCTTTAACCCATCAAAGCTTTTGACACGTCGTCAAAACCTTTTTGCACCTGCAAAGCTGATACAGCAAACAGTTCCTGCAGAACAAGCTGATATTGTTTAGACTCCTTAAGATGGTTCCATCCATCTGTAGTGACCCGAGACATCTCTGGACTGAAGAGTCGTTTCCAGAGGTCATCCGACTTCCCTGACCTTCGCATCCACTAAGAGGGTCTCCAAAAACGGGTGAAGTAGACACACAGATAGCGTCTGACATGTTTTTGATAATAATCAACTTCATAGCTTAACACAAACCAACTTCTTTTGCATCCAGAACTCAGCTCTCCTAGATCCGGAAGTTCTGACTAACATCACATTCACACATAGGTTCATACATCACATCTAGTTCCATCCATCACAGTAGATGCTTAGTTAACTTGACATGTTTTAATTGTTGGTAAAAATGAATTCTTACTTTTATAAACCTGACTCTTTTCTGAATCAAAACGAAGTGTGTACAATCCCCTAATAAATAAAGAACCCTAGAATCTTCTGATTAACACAGTAAAGACCAGACAGGGTTGATATTCTATATTTAGATAGAGTTTCACAGCTTATTGGTCATCAGTAGAGGTAATATATATATATTGAGCTCAGAAAGCACTCAATTTCCTAAACCCTACATCTCTGTGTCCTTGAAAAATGATCAGTTTAATAGTCCTGTAGTGTCCGTTTAACACAGACAAGAGCAGATGTGCAGCATGAAAGGAACAGAAGGAAAATCAAAGTCGTTTTTCTCTCCTTTTGTTAACCTTTTCATTTTAATAAAGTTCTGTTGAACTGTCCAGAGCTGTTTATACAGACTGAAAACATCTGGATGGTTTAAAGCCAGAATTGGGCATACATTAGAAAAATGTGTCCATGTTAAAACCATCAAATAGGAGTGTAAGAGCTGCATTTGCAAAATATTACAGCATCAAATTAACCCACAACAACTGCAAAACCACACCCATCCTGACCCACATGGAAAACTCTAGGAGAGACAACTTTTATCAAACAACGTGTGTAAAATAATCAAAATAATACAAGTGTTAAGCTCCTGTTTAAAAAAAAACAACAGGGAGCCTGAATTCTGATCAGCTGAAGCAAACCTTTCTGCTAAAAGCTGCCGTCAAAGCATGAACCGTCTCAGAGGGAGACCAGAGAAGTGACGTCCTCTCCATGTGGCTAGCGTAACGAAAACAAACACTTTTCTCCATGCTGTCTGGCTCTAAAAATAATTAAAGACTGTAAATTTATCTTGAGTGTCAAGTTTAACTGGACAAGCAAACACGGTTCCACACCGGCTGCTGAGTAAATCTAATAAAGGATTTATTTTTATCAACTGCCACCAGAAAGAGAAATGAAAAATGCTTTTGCTTCAATGTGTGCACGAGTGCGTGCACGTGTTCGTTTTCTATAGTGTTATTAAAACATTTCAAGAACCACGAATCACATTGAACATCTACATTTGAGTCATTTTAAGGAACAATCCAGTAAAACGTGACCAAATGCATCTAATGAAATAAACTTGATGTGTTTTTTAATTATTGGGGATAAAATTTTATACCACAGAAGGTAGGAGTCATTACCAACACATATGATGCTGACCAATGTTATGTTTGAATATGATCTCTGAGTTTTATATACTGAATATGAAAATCATCTTCTACAGCCATCTCCTGTATTAGCTTCTGATAGAAAATGGATGGGAAAACGCTCAACTCAGAAAAACCTGACAGATCTATGTCACGCTGTCAGCAATTAGCAAATATGGACATTCTGACTCGCTACGGGGAAGGCTGCTGTTGATTTAGCGTCCGGATCAGAGCACGTCTTGGCTAGCAAAAGCTAACTGTTAGTAATAGCAACTCCACAACATGGCAGAACTCCTCCAGGCTTGTCTTATTTGTAGAGATAGAGCATCGACGTTGCAGAGCAAACAGAGTCAGTAGTAGAGTCGCTTTAGCCAATCAGAGGTGAGCTTTCTGAGTATCAGGAAATAAAACTAAATCCTTGAACATCTTAGGTGTGTTCTTGCTGTGTCGTATTTCTAATTCCATGCTGTAGTTCTTTTTTTAAAACACAGAACAGTTTTGTTACCTGTTTTCCCACATCTGAGATAAGGAGACGTGGATGTGGGACCATGAACAGGGACGATGGAGTTTACACGTTGGACCGCGCATGGGACTGCATCGTCGGAGAGGAAAGAGCGGGCAGCAGAGGGCAACAACGTCCTCTGCTGCCCGCGGATAAACGGAGAAGGAAGTGACGCCACCATCAGCGTCAGCCTGAAGAAGTTTGCAGCCGCAAACGAAACGTAGCGGGAAAACAGGTAACAAAACTGTTCTGTGTTTTAAAAAAAGAACTACAGCATAAAACTAAATCCTGCCGTCTGCTGCCACTTTCTCTTCCGGATGACTTCTACGTTCTCAAACAGGAGCATCAGAGATATTTTTTCCGCAGAGAATGAATTACAAGGCATTCATTCCCACTAGAGGTCACTGCAAATGTACTAAAATATAAGTGAACTTGATCTTTAATGAAGGATTTCAGAAAGTAATCATTACATGCACATCTACAACTGATTGTCAAGTCAGTCGGGGTCAAGATGGCCACCACAGCTCACCAACCTATACGTGTCTTGTTTTTTCTGGAGAATTGAAGAACATTTTAATAAAACCTGGGTCTAAGAACTTCGCATACCTTTATTGCTGCAGTCCAGAAGTTTAGGGAACTTATAGGTGCAAACAGAAACAGCTTCTTGCTTCTCTTTCATTGGTGGACCCCCCGGCCGTGGGTCCTGTCCGTCCCCTGGCCTCGTCTCTTCCTTGCACAACAGTTCTGCATCTAACTTTTTCAGCTTCTGTCCCTTCATCGAAGAAGGCTCTGCACACCTGGCATAGTTGCCTATGTTACGGTTGCTTGGCACCTGCAGGGTCCTGACCAGGCCGTCCAATGGGCAGCGGCAGCTCCAGGGGTTGTCAAAGAAACGGAGGTAGGTGAGGCGGGGCAGAGGGAGTAGAACCTCCTCTGAGGCTGTTCTCAGATGATTGTGTTGAAGTAGGAGGGTGGTTAGCTTGGAGAGTCCACTGAATGCGTTGTCCTCCACCACAGAAATGATGTTCTGTTGGAGGTCCAAGCTCTTCAGCTGGGTGAACTGGGCGAACATGTTGTCCTTCAAAACCTAGAGAAGAACACCAAAACTTATCTCTGTAGTTATATATTTAACCAGTTGTCTGTTGTAGTTAAACTGGTTGTGTGGTGCATCTGATCAGACCCTTTTTCCCCTCAATGGAAATGGACCAACGTCTAGATTTCTTCTACAAACCCCATCCAATGACCCAATGTACCCAAATCTATTTGTGGAAGTTAAGGTTGAATTCTGTGCTCCATGTGTGGAATGCCATCTACTGAAAAATGATCAAAACCAATTGGGGTCTCTCAATCAGCTTCCTGGAGCAGTTTCGTTTAAAGGCTACATAATGTGCAAAAATCATGAAATGCACAAGTTAAACATCTAAATGGTGAGTGTGTATCTTTACCAGTGTTGTGCTGGACTGCATCAGTGACATACATATCCTGTGTGGTCAATCAGACACACAAAAGTTCACACACGGATGTTTTTGACCTCTGTCCCAGATAAATGGTGCACAGATGCTGAACAAGATGGCTGGGGTTGCATTCAGACTCAACTGAGATGTTTGAGCCTTGTTTTGTTAAACAAAACTGTAGTAAACTCTAAGTTTATCCAATACAGTACTAAGAACTCCTTAAAACCAGCAATCTGACCGTCGTGGGGTCTTTCATCGTTATAAATTCAGCAGCTTGGATTTATTTGGAAATCTGCTGGAGCACTCCAAGATTTAACAGAAGCACAAACCAAGGTGATGAGCTATCCGAAAGAAAGGAAAGCTTTTACGAATATTCATTCATTCAAGAAGTCGGGTGAAGGTTTATTTTTTTTCACTTAATAGCGAAACATCTGATTACAAAATAAACGTGAGACAAAAGCCCACGTGTTGAATGCAAATGATCACAAATTTCAAGGCTGCCTCGTTGAAAGCCATTAGGGCCTAAACGCCACCGTGCCTTTCTTGGTTACAACCATGAATAATATGAGTTTAGTGTGCCTTTTATTGGTGGTTTCATGCATTAATCACAAATTCTTTGCTTGATTTTTACAGTCTTCACACTGTTGTTTAGCATAACAAAAGCATGGAATAATGCGTCTTTTCTAGTTGTTTTCATCTAAACTGCCTGGTTACCCGTTTCTGTAACCTCTGTGGCTGTTTAGTGCCACTTCTTGTACTTTCATTATGGAAGAATCCATCTAGCTGCAATTACCTGAATTTTATTCCTCGCCAGGAGTAGATGTTGAATATCTTTGGGCCAGTCCTGCATCACAGAAGTCAGCTGCCTATCCTGGCAGTCCAGGAACTTCTCCCCTGCCTCCATGTATTCTTTACATTCCTGAGTTTGACGCCTAGAGACCCCTGCCCTGCCTCGGCCTCGCACACGATCTCTGGTGCCCCTCTCCGTAACCTTTGACCCAGGGTTTCTCCGAGGTTCAGCCAAGCAGAGGAGCAGCAGGAGGAGGACACAGCTGAGGAGACGCATGATGGTGGAGCAGAAGGGTGAGAGCTAAGTTGCTTTAGGAGACGGATGTGGAGGGACACAGGAAGCCAGTCAGAGCTGTAGGCATGGTGAGAAGAAAAAAAAAACAGGACATTTATTTACAGAAGCATAATTTGCGACGTAATTAGTGAGAAATGCATATCGAAAATTTCTGATTATGGATCATATTTTACAGCAAAATTAGCATGATATTGTAACATTACATTATTTGCATGAGCTTTAAAGGGGGAGATGAGAGGTTATGTAGAAACTTTGTTTTAAAAATGGTCAAAAATTCTGGTACAGCAGGAAAAATAAGTATTTGACACATCAACGTTTTTGTCATTGAAGGTATTTCTAAGTTGGCTGTTGACACAATATTTTCACCAGATGTTGCCATCAAGCCAACTTTTGAAGTCACACAAAGGCATCAGAACATTTAAGTAAACAAGTTTAGTCCCAATAAATAAAGTGAAATGACACAGGGAATAAGTAATGAACACACTTTAATAGTTTGTAGAAAAGCCTTTGCTGGTGATTACAGATTCTACATGCCTCTTGTATGGAGAGACCTGCATTGCTCAGGAGGGATTCTGGCCCATTCTTTCACACGAAGGTTCATTTAGCCTGGCCAGCCATGCCAATGGGAAGCAACAGGCCTGTTAACGCACCTATTCAAATAACCCTGCTTCCTGAGAACTGTAACTCAGCCAATCAGTGCAGAGCAGCGTACGTCACACACAGCAATGCTCACCTTCTCATAAACAAATAAACAGCATCTGAAGCGAAGTTCACTGCAGCTCTTTCCTCTGTTCTAAACGTCTTTAAAACCACAACAAGAAGAAGCGCTAAAAGCTTTTCAGCTAAAGAAAGATGTTTGCGCCATCGACGGACGCCATCTTTGATTACAGCTAAAAACGACAACGTCGCACGATATTGTCATCATTTACGCCTTTTTTCTGATTGGTTGTTTTTGAGCAGACTACTCCTGCCCCTCATGGTTCTCTCTGCCTCTGAGTATCCAGACTCGTCCTCTGTGTGGAGCAGACAGAGGGCGAGTCTGGCAGGCCAGACTAAGGTTCCCTGGGCTTCTGTTATGAACTTTGATATTCAGTTCTCTCCATAGATTTTCTGCGGGATTTTGGCATCTTACGTTAACAAAGTAATTAGTTACAGTTACAAAAGACTTTTTCCAAAAAGTAATTGAGTTAGTAATTCAGTTAACACATTGTAAAAGTAATTAGTTACCTAACAAAGTAATTGGGATGTGATATTTATGTTCTATAACAGAGTTATATTGTATAATATCTATAACATCAAATATTTTCTTTAACTGGATGATTCTAACTAGTAATGGCAAAGGCAGTGAGAGCTGAAAAGAGGAGAAGAAAGGGAAATCTACTCTGAGATCTCTTGACCCAAATGTGGTTTTAATAAAGTTTTATTTTCTCTTGCTTCAAAATTTCTCTTGGCAAACCTTTTAAAACGTGTTCTCATCATGTAACAGAGAGCACTTGTGAGCGGTGTTTACTGAACCCAATGGAATCCTGCACGATGCATTCAATGTTGTCTGTAAAATATGATTTAGTTACAACTTTTGAAGTCTTAAAGGTGTGGAACACTTGTTTAATCAATTCATTTGCAGTGGTCCCTGGTAGGAATGAATGTCGCACTCAAGAGGGAAAAAGCGCTGGTGCACCCAGAAGTGAGTCACATCACAGCTGCGCTTCAGACGGCAGGTTTTGGAGTGTGGTTTCCTGATATTTGGACTTCTTGCCTCAGATTGTATAACAGCAAAGCGACTCAACCGTCAACTTGCAACACTGATGTTTTATCTCCACAAACAACAAGCCTGGAGGAGTTCTGCCGTGTGGTGTACTTGCTTATGCTAACAGTGAGCTTCTACTAGCTGAGACGTTCTCTGCTGTTTCCTGGACACTAATCCAATAACAACCTTCCCCGTTATGAGTCAAGATGGATGAATCCATGAATGTTAAGTGACGGTGTGACGTAGTTCTGCCATGCTTTTCAAATCCTAGAGTTTCAACACCTATCGTTTGAGCTAATGCAGGATATGTGTGAAGGAGACTATTTTCATGCTCCTGCATGAAAAACTGAGAGTGACTGATGATAATCAGAAATATGATTCTAAAAATATTTTCAGTGTTCCACACCTTTAACTTGTGTTTAAAAGTGGCTTTTAACAGACAACACACCTGTCAAAAACATTGATGCTTTTTGATGTAGAAAAAAGTAGTTATAGGCAGTGATTAAATTAAGTGACTGTAGATAAAATAACAAGTGAATGATGTTGGCAGGAAAGCAAAAAGTCAACAGTTAATCATAAAGCTACGCTGTACTTTTTGAAATATATTAAAGCAAAAACATTGTGAGGAATGTGAAATCAAGAATCAAACCAAGACTGTGATTCTTATTTTCCTTTTTGAATAAAGTGATGAGAAGATCAAGTTAAATCCTCTTGAAGAGAAAGAGTGTCTGATTCTAGAGTTGAAATATTAGTCTTTGCTGCACATTAAAGCAGGAAATTAGTCAGTGAGCTCCAGTTAAGTTTTGGAAAGTGACTTTGTTCTTCAGTCATTAAGACCTGCAGCTCACTGCAACAAACGTTTTTTTTTCTCCATAATTTTTGTCCATGGTGTGTGTTTAGCATGTTCAGACCGGTTCAGACACTAACAAGTAATAAAAGCTTACATCTGCTGCTCATCATGGGCAACTTTGTTTCAGCTAATTGGTGCAGTTTGTGAATCTGACACAGAGAAGGAATAGAAAGCGACAGGAAAAAAGGCACAACTTAAACTTCAACTTGCTTCCATGTGGGTGGTTCATTTGCTGGGAGACAATTAGCACAACAGCTGCATATCTCTCATAATGTCTTTGCCATTACATCATACTCCACACAGGTCCTGGATATGCGTAAAACTTATGTAAATTCAGTCCCAATTCAGTGTGATTCCAGGTTAGAATTGGAATTTGAACTGCCCAGTTAGATACTTGCTGAAGTACGTATTTGAAGAGACTCCGATAACCCGTGAACATACTACACTTTCTTATTGAATAGCATGATATTTCGCAATGTTGCAGGTTTTATGGTGAAGTGAGTAATTGTTCTTTTTTGTGATCAAATCTTAAAAAGAAACAGCTACACACACACACACACACACACACACACACACACACACACACACACACACACACACACACACACGCACACACGCACACACACACACTGACTCAGTTTAACTGTACAAAACCACAGACCTCCTACCTTCTTCCAATGGAACAAGTCAGTCCATGCAGCTGGTTTAGTTCCATACTGAATAACAGACTGGGCATTTCAGTTTCTCAGAAACAGCTGAGAATGTTGCTGCACTTTCTTTCCATTTAGCAGAGGGTTCCTCATCTGTCCAATGTTATTAATCAACTCAAATGGAGCAAACTTGAAAGTTCAGCTCCTTTTGCTAAAGCTATTAAATGCAAGATTGCACTTCTTGTGAGCCATTTCTCCTAACTCAACAGAAAGTTTAGTCTTTTCAGCCACCAACCCTGTCTCTCTGACAGTTTCACCTAAAACCCTGTTAAAAATGCCAAGCATGTGCTGGGACACTGCATCAAGAACAGGATGTATTTTCCTGTGTCTGTGCTTTACATACAAAGCTGATGAAAGACACATTTCAGCTCTGGGTGAGACTGGTGCCAGTACAAACTCCAGGCCAGACTGAAAACATGAAGCAAAGCCTGCAGCAGGAACAGATCTCTAATAAAAATGTTCACCTAAGTTTTAGGTTAAATCTTTTGGTTCAGGTGGTTGATACACTGGGTGGTGTTCCAGATGTAGACTTCCAGTTGGTCAACCCTGCTCAGGTAATAAAACCTAATATTAAAAGTGGAATTCCTGTGTGTGTGTGTGTGTGTGTGTGTGTGTGTGTGTGTGTGTGTGTGTGTGTGTTTGTCTGTGTTTGTATGTGTGTGTGTGTCTTCCAAGTACATGATTCACTTTCTCAACAACTTCCACCACTCCATCCTGTAGACTTCTGGTTGGGAGCAGGTTTCCACACTTAAGGAAACATTAAAGAGCCTAAATGCGTTCAGTGCTATTTTTTATCATACTAGGTGAGATTTAGCCCAAATATTAATCCTATTTATGTAAGTATGTAGTCTGTTCACCACTCATAGACAGTTTGGACATGGGTTGTCTGAGGCTACATGGCTACACCACTTTGTGCTACTTCAACAGTTTGTCTAGATTTACAGGCTACGTGAGGTTAAGAGGATTATATGTTTCAAAAATATTCAAAAAATACCATCTCTGTTTGAAACTTTCTGTTTTAGCTCCTTTCTACTTAAAGAGACAATGTGTAGTTTTTACCATTCAATTCTGGAAGTATCCATCAAAATGTTGAAAATTAATGAAATGATGTCCAGTTGTTGAAAAATTGTTGCGGCTTTGTAACATATAACCATAAAAATCAGGTCTAAAATTGATGGGAGCGGGTCTGGGCGACACCATATTAGATCCCATGTTGCCTGCTACGGGAGCCCATGAGAACAAATGCATTTACTGATTTGTTACAAACGGTTACAAACTGCCATCATTCTTAAATGTTGTTGTTTTACACATTTACCTCTTCACTTGTTGCCAGTGATGAAAGGGAGTCTAATGTGCTTGTTGTTTTGCTGAAGTTTGCACTCCCTGGGGCTTTCAGACCCTAATGGGCATCCATTTGGTAAGGTCTTACTCCAACACAAAAATACTTCCCTATCGCCAGGAAAAAATACACACTATCACTTTAAGACCCTCTCTCCAATACGGAGTTTCCTCCAACTGGCCAGTTGGATGGTTGAAAATGTTGGAGTGAAAGGGGATTACATATTTATTGCCAGGACTTGGCAGGCACAGTGCAAAGAGGCATAGGTTGATTTTAAGTTTCAACCTGATGTGCTGGATGTTATTTTTTTTTTAATAAACAGAACTCAGAGAGCATGAGTTAATGGGCTTTAATCTAAAAAATGTGCTTTTCGGATGTTTCATCATTAAGGCATTTGCTTTCATCCATGCTGTTTGTACTGTTTGCAGATGACTCGTTAATCGTCCGTCTGCTTCAAAGTAATGAGAGCAGCCATGACAAGTCCTAGTCTCCTTCGTTGGGTGATGGGAGGAGCCACAACTACAACTATGAGAAAAAAAGCAGCTAAAATGCTTACCAGGTAGAATCCTATCAAAGTTTTAAGGAAATAATTGATTCCAAACTACATTTTCAAATCAGAAAAACTATGTTAACTCTGTTTAATAGAGATTGTTGAGTCAGATTGAACTTTTTTTTATTAGGTTTGGAGTCTCCATTTCCACAATTTCCCCCCAAACTTTGACAAGAGTCTCAGTTGTAAAACTTAAAGAAAACAATAACCATATTCTTCTACAATCACAGATCCATCACTAAATCATCCGAACAACGACTGGCCCTTCTCCACATCTGTTCAGCTGAAAGAAAATCCACCTCTTCCTGGAAGAAAATGGCCACTGTCAGCCAGCAGAATTCAGCGCACATTCCAGCTGTGACCATAACAAATCAGCTCGGGCCAAGCCCATCCCTGTGGTTCACCCTGACTCCGTAGGCACACTAAACTCGAACGAGTCCTCCTGCTCTTGTATCATTTCCCACCCAAGCTCCCATTGGTCAAACTGTGCCAACCCAAACCAGCTTCAAATAAAAAAGCAGCCTCTGTTCAGCTGTAAACATCAACGCCCTCGCTTATATGGTCATATACTTCCCTCGAGACTAATGTGCACACTGTTTGGCTGCCACTGCCAACTGTCTTGAACCGCGGTGAAGTTTGGTCTGGATGTAAAATGTGGCAGCAGCATGTCTCTCAGTTTGGATTATGTAAAAATAAATTGTTGGTAGGAATCTCAAGTCATCTGAAACAGGCCAAGAGACAGAAAAGGAAAAGTTGGTTTTATATTTTGTTCTTAGGAACGATTTTATTTATGTAAATAAAAATGAAAGGAACTAAAGGAAACAAAATAAATGAAACCACTAATGGTGCTGTGTGTGTCTATTTAGAATTGTTTATTTAAAGTTAAATAGGTCAAACAAGCCTCATCAAACCAAAAATTACCCAAACTGTTTGGGTTTTAACACCATCATATGACGCACATGGCAACAGGAAGGTTCCCCTATTTAATGTGTCCCTTTTTCACATTTTGTAAAATTTTCAACCACAATGAGCAATGTTTAAAAGGCTCTGCCCAATTTGACTTGTCAAAGACAAGAGATTCTCACTCTAGCACCAGCTGGACACCAGCTACTCCTCCTGTTGGGAAGCTGACTTTATTATGTGTGTGGCATAACTGACCGCGACGACCAGCAGGACGAAAACAGACGTTGGGCTGTCCTCTTGTGCCAGAACAAGGGGGCCCTGACTACCCCAGAGGAATGGTGTTTATGTCCAGCAGTGCTAATAAGCTAACTGCTAACCCTAGCACAGCTAAGTCTAAAGCGGCTCCAGTCCTCAAAAATTTGAAGCAAATTATTTCCCTTATTCTTTTAAAACCTCTTGAAGGGCTGTCAGATTTTCATCACATACAAATGGTTAGAAACTCCTGCGAGGCTCGACTTGTAGGTGCACAGGTGGTGGTGATAATTGTGCAAAACAACCCGATAATGCCATGTAACTGATCGTGTGCTTGGACTGGACATTAGCTCATGGACAAAGCTAATCAGGCCACCAAGAAAGCAACAAATAAAATAGTAGATAGCAAAAATTTGTGAAATAGAAGAAAAAGTCTTTTGATTTTCTTTAGCACTTCTATTTGGCTGCAACATATGGGCCATTCCCATCTGTACCGGGTCGGCCCGGGCCGGGTAGCCCCAGTCGGCCCCAGCCTGGCCCGGTTGATTCCACACATCCTTGTCTTAAGCCCATGTGGGCTGATTCTACCCACCAATCAGAGGCTTGCTCTAATGGAAGGTGTGAATTTGCTGTCAGCAGTGGGTGTGTTGGCCCTGGTCGGCCTGAAGCAGACCCCCTCGAGAAGAGGGCTGAGAATGAGCCTTGGTTGGCCCGGAAAAATACCAGGCCACCCAGATATGTAAACAACCTACACTACCCGGCCTGGGCCGACCCGGTACAGATGGGAATGGCCCAATAAATTACCGGTATGTGATTTTTACAATGCACATAGCAAACCAAATGACCAGGAAGCCATTTAAACTGCAAACATAAAGTGCGTGTTACAGAAATCTGTCATGAACCTTGGAAAGTAGACTGCATGTTGCTATCTGCTTAGTTTTTAAGAGGAGGAGCTCCAGCAACACTGGACTGAAAGAGGTCAAACATCCAAAGGGAACAGTTCAGAAACACACTGGTCACTGTTACAGAGAATGGGCAGCTGTGAAGGCAAAAGTGTGTTTTTTTTCTCTTTCTATGTCAAACAATAAATAAAAAATTCCATCTCGCTTTCATCCAAGTTGTATACGAGCAGTTAGTCAGTTAATTGCAGAAAAACACAAAATTGGAATGCAGAGACAATAAGTGACCCTGAAGGTGAATTTTGAGAGTGAACCTCCAGTTTCCTTTTGGAGGAGTTTCCTTCCCAAAGCTTGTTCTGTTAGAAAACTATAAAAAGTATAATAAGGCAGGGCTACGGTTCAAGGATTACAACCAAGTATGCAAAGAAGTGAAACCACGTCATTTTAAACTAGAGACGGCTGGAGACAAACATTGTGTTTAAAGAGCAACTTGAAGAGGACCCACAGACATCCGTGAGAGCCTAATTGGAACCAAAAAAGTTCATCTCTGCAACGGAAAAAACTAAAAGAAAGACTAAGATTTAAAAAAAGGTTTCAAAACAGAAAACGACACTGGAGATTTTTAGGAAGGGTCAGAAAGGTTGAGTCCAGAATAACAATCGTTAGACATGTAACCGTCATAGGTGCCATTTAGGCTTTATTTGCTATAAGATTAAAAAATTGTTTCTACTTTGGTTCAATATTTCTTCATCAAACTCCTTTAGCGTCTTCTTCAGGCTCATTAGAGTCAAAAAGTTATAAAACGCTGCCGCATGACGTTAGACAGACCTTCCCCCACGACTCTGCCATGTGGAATGGTTTGGATTAGCGCCAGACATCTGCATGGTAAACACACACACACACACACACACACACACACACACACACACACACACACACACACACACACACACACACACTACAAAGCGTTTTTAAAATGTAACTGTGGCTAACTGAAACAGCTGAAAATTCAGTGAAAGGGATTTGTGCGCTTTTATAATCAGAGTGAAATTGCAAGACATGCAAGTTCCTCTACCTCCTGTTTTTCTGGGGAAAATTCCAGACTGAAACCACATGGTGCTCCAGCTCTGCACCGCATGAGTTTGGCATTTATGTTAAAAGTATAATGTAAGTTTCTGCAAGAGGGCTGTAAATGCAAAACAATTTGCAAAGGTCTCCTCCGACTTTCTCCTACCACTACCTAAAAGTCATTTATTGTGGGGTTTTTTTTTTGTTTGTTTTTCTTTGCAACTTAGAGTTAACTGGCGGAGTGTTCAATGAACATGACTCATTTGTGTAGCGCTCCCAGCTAGAGTTGCTTCCTCGCCGTACAAAAGGGTTCCAAGTGGAAAAAATTAAACCCTTACTGTGACAGAAGATGTATGAAGCTCTTTCAGTCAGAGCAAGGAGAGGGGTTGGGACCACCAAAATAAAAGGTTTGGCAAAAATGATTGAATTTGCAACTTTAAATTAATTAGTTTATAATTTGATGTTTTGTAATGCTCAACATGCTTTTGCAACAAACTTTCAAGCTGAATAATTCAGTCAATGCATCCGGCTCAGTTTTCTAGAACAGCAGAGTATTACATTACATGAACTCTCATTATGACCAGTTCAATCAAAGTCAGCCTGTGCTTAAAATATCCAATACAAATGAATGCAAATATGGTGCATGTGTCTATTAAAAACAAAAAGTTGGCTTTGCATATTTCTCTAGATGGATTTTATTTTAGTCTTTGAAGGATTATTTTCAACAAGAACAGAGCTGAGAGTGGAGCCAAAGCCACAGTGGCCAAAAATGTTTCTTTCTTTTTCGTGCACATTGAATGATGGCTGTTCAGAAACTGAAGAAATGTTCACTGCTGCTGGATAATCCTGTGCAGGTGTGAAATACTGGTACAGATGAGTGAAAAGTTTCAGCCTTACCCGTGCAGGGTGAGACTCTGGCTTGGGTCCTTCCACTGGAACCTGCAGATCGGTTGGTCCTGTGTCCCAGGCACCTAAGCCTGTCATGAGCACTGCATCCAAGCCAAGAATATCAGCCTGGCTTCTTGAGAGCCTGGAGCGAGGGACCAAGAGTGACAGCCTCCCACCCTCCCTTCCTTTGCACCCGCTCAGCCGGGTCACACTGAGAGTGTGAAGATGGAGACTGGGGGAGAGGGAGAAAGAGAGAGACCGTAGGCTGAGTAAAACTGATTCTCATAGGAGCCACAAGGCTGTGTCTGGTTTAGCATTACACACTCACACATCACTCGCACACGTGTGGGAGGGCTGCAGCCCTTTTATTGGTCCCCTCTGTTTAACCAGTGGGCTCACTGTAGGATGTGCAGCTAACTGGTCGGACAGGCAAAGCAGAAGACAAATACAGCTTGAGTCTCTGTAGCAGACGAGCAAAAAGGTACTTACTGCAAACACCTCTGTGCACATCTGTCGGATTTATTTTTCTTTCCGTCATGTCAGGCACAGGATAGAATGCCATTGTGGCAAAACTCTCATGACACCATTTTAAAAACTGGTTTGTGTTCATGATTAGGACGTGGCTGAGCTGAATTGCTGCTACAGTAAAAGGTTTTCCACATGCATGTTGTGGTTTTAAACGGATCACAACCACTAGGGGTGCACAGATACCGACACTGGTATCGGTATCGGTGCCGATACCAATACTATTACCAGTATCGTATCGGTAAAAGTTAACCGATACCAGGAACTGATACCAATGCAGTTGCTTGAAAATGGCTTCACTGTGACTTGTCATTTCTGTTCACCTACTATTTTAGTTTTGTGATGACTTCCATTCATATATTTTACTTTTAATCTTCCTCACAGTCGTTTCCTGTTGAAAGCAGAGAAGAAAATAAAATCTGTATTCCAAATCATTGCATTTTTTTGTGTGGTGGAAGTATCAGTATCAGTAATCGGCATCGGTGAGTACTCAGATCCAAGTATCGGTATCGTATCGGTTTGGAAAAAAGTGGTATCGGTGCATCCCTAACAACCACAAAACAACCTCCTTTGCATCTGACACACATCCAACCTGTGATTTCTCCAAATAAGCCAAATTTTTTGCCCTTATTGCACAAACAACAAAGTAAAAAGTTGGACAAATGTATATAAACCTCTTAAAAATACTAAATGATGTAACACACTAACACTTGATGTTATTTTTCATCTGCCAATTAAAACTGAAAGATTCCTCCAATCTTAAATCTTGCTTCATAAAGTGAGTATTACCTTTCTATTTTGTAATAATAGCCAACAAATACAGAATGCTAAGAAAAAATTGACAAGTAAAAGAGTCTGGGTTGGTTAATGTGCTGCAAACCAAGAACAGAGGAACTTTAGGTTGTGATGTCTAAAAATACGCAGGTTGGTTAAAGTAGCTGAGCCCATGTGTGTGATGGGCCTTATTCTTACACACCTGATTTATAGACAGCTCAACAAAAATAAACAAATCTCAAAACTATGAAAAAACAACGTAGTTGGTGAAGAGGTAGTTACCGTCAGAGTCTGATAAATTAAGAGTTAACGTTTTTTTTTTCTTTTCATCCTTGCTGTCTTGGGTATCTGTCAACTTTTAGTGACATATGATTTTCTGTGAGTATGCTCGTGATGTTAGCGTGTCATGCTAGAGCGAGACGTGCAGATTGGCTCTCTGAAATCTTGGACCGTACCGTGTGTACCTCTCTAGAGTTACGACATCCACAAAACTGTCAGTGTGGCTCGGGCTTCATGGGTTTGTTATTACAACAAATGCTGTCTTTTTCATTTGGATCGGTTTGGGTTGCTGTTAGGGTTTGTCCTGTTGTTTTGGTCTTAATTGTGTATTTTTGTTTGTTTGTTTTTTTGGTTGCATTTTAGAGACCTTTGGTCAACCTCGGTTCATCGTCCATCACTTTTCCACGCAGGGTCGTGGGGGGGCTGGTGCCTATCTCCAGCAGTCTCCGGGCATGCTGGTGGGGTACACCCTGGACAGATTGCCTGTCCATCGCAGGGCAACACAGAGACACACAGGACAAACAATCAAGCACACACATGACAGTCATTGTTTTGGACTGTGGGAGGAAGCCGGAGCACCCAGAGGGAACCCATGCATGCACAGGGAGAACATTCAAACTCCATGCAGAAAGATCCCAGGCAGGGATGTGAACCCAGTGGCGTACTGACCAATGAGCCACTGTGCAGACCCACCTTAGTTTATACGTTTTAATAAAATATATGATAAATGACAAATGGACCGCACTTGTATAGCGCCTCTCAGAGTAAGGACTCCAAAGCGCTTTACACTACAGTGTATCATTCATCCATTCACACACACATTCACACACTGGTGGTGGTTAGCTATGATGTAGCCACAACTGCCCTGGAGTGCACTGACAGAGGCGAGGCTGCTGAGCATCGGCGCCATGGGTCCCTCCGACCACCACAAGCAGGCAAGGTGGGTTAAGTGTCTTGCCCAAGGACACAACAGCAGAATTCTCTGTCTGGAGCCGGGATCAAACCTGCAACCTTCCGATTACTGGACAACCCACTCAACCTGTTGAGCTACTGCTGATATAATCATCTGCGTGTGTCTGCTCTGTCTCGATCCCCAGTGAGTCATTAGCCTGGCCAGACTCCTCCTCTGTTTAATTCTGCACAGAGAAAGAGTCTGGGAACTCTCCTGTTCAAATAACCCCACCCCGTGAGAATTCTAACCGAGCCAATCAGCGCTGGGTAGTGTACGTTACACACCACAATGCCGAGTTAGTCATAAACATGGCGACTGAAGTGGAGTTCGCTGTGGCTCTTTCCTCTGTTCTAAATGACTTGAACATGTCTTTAACATGTCTACAACAAGTAGAAGCGCTAAAAGCATTTTTTCTAAAGAAAGATGTTTGCGCTGTCGCCAGACGCCATTAATGACTACAGCAAAAAAACGACAGTGTCGTGGACGTCACACACAGCAACGCTCAGTTTCTCATAAACGACAAAGACAGAGGCGGAGTTCGCTCCGGATCTTTCCTCTGTTCTAAATGACTTGAATGTCTTTAAAACCACAAGTAGAAGCGCTAAAAGCCTTTCTTCAAAAAATAAAAAAAAAGATGTTTGCACCACTGTCAGATGCCATGTTTTACTTCAGCTAAAAAACTACAGCGTCGCACGGTACAGTTGGCATTTCTGTCTTTTTTCTGATTGGTTATTTTTGAGCTGCCTAGTCCCGCTCCTCAGGTGCCTCTCTGTCTGCGAGTAACCAGACTCTTTGTGCAGAATTAAACAGAGGATGAGTCTGGCAGGCCAGGCTAGTGAGTCATGGTGGATGGCTGCTCATATTGAGTCAGGTTCTGTTTGAGCTTTCTTCCTGTTAAAGGGGAGTTTTCCTCTCCATTGTCACCAAATGCTTGCTTACTATGGGGATTGCTGTAAAGTCAACGACACAAGTTGGTGACTCGATGCAATCTGCTGGGTTCCTACATAGGCTAACCATTTAATCATTCTCCCTCTCCTGATAATAACATTTTACTTTCCTTGACATTGAATGTGCTACTACTAGTTTACCCGTTTAATTATAGATTCACTAGGATAAATACAATAAAGTTTATCTCTCACCAAATAGAATATTTACTAAGAAATCACAATGTTACCATAGAAACACTACTTGGTGTGTGTGTGTGTGTGTGTGTGTGTGTGTGTGTGTGTGTGTGTGTGTGTGTGTGTGTGTGTGTGTGTGTGTGTGTGTGTGTGTGTGTGTGTGTGTGTGTGTGTGCTCTGTCTTTTCGAGCCCCAGTGAGTCGTGGTGGATGGCTGCCTATACTGAGCCAGGATCCTCTGGAGGTTTCTTCCTGTTGTGACAGTGTGAGCGTCCTGTCACAATGTCTCAATTGATCGTGCGCCCTAGCTACTTGGCCAAGGAGATGTCCCTTTGGCTGACTGGTTAGCGGGCGTGACTCTCACCCAGGAGTCTGGGGATCGAATCCCGCCCGGGCCCTCGTTACTACACCTTGCCACACTGTTAAAGGGGAGTTTTCCTCTCCACTGTCGTTAAATGCTTGCTTAGTATGAGGATTGCTGTAATTGCTTGATGCAATTTGCTGGGGTCCTTATATAGTAAACTTTTTTCTGATTGGCTTAATGAACTGACCTGTATTGGAATGTTTACTATGTGAAGTGCCTTGAGACGAATCTTGTTGTGATTTAGCTCTATATGAATTAACTTGAACCGAATAGCGGTACAGTTGGCATTTCTGTATTTTTTCTGATTGGTTATTTTGAAACCTTTACCTAATTGGCATAATGAACTGAACGCAATTGGAACGTATACTTTGTGAAGTGCTTTGAGATGACTCATTGAAAATAAACTGAACTGAAATAGAGTTAATGACCTGGTGGAGGGAGAGACCGGTGGCGCCCCAGGACAGCTGTAGCTATCATGGCTCATCCCCATCAGCACGTGAATGTGTGTGTGAATGGGTGAATGACTGATTGTGTTGTGAAGAGCTCTGGGGGTTTGCAGAACCCTGAGAAGATGCTGTACAAATACAGTCCATTTACAACAGCTACAGGTGAACTGTAATCCACTGTTAAAGAACTTTGTGTTCAAATTAATAGGAGACAGTAATTCCTGATATTCAACATGTCACTTCTCTCTCCTCTGCATCAACACAGAAAAGCAGCTCCATGTTTGGACCAACATTCTGCTAACTTTTGTTATGCTGTTGTTTACTGCCAAATATGCCATTAAATATGTTTCCAGACCACAGGAAAAGTCAGGATGGAGTCTTGGTGGAAGCTCTAGCTTTTGGTTTCAAATACAAATACACCTAATGCACACAGATGGGCAAACCTATTTAAAGCCTGTCCCTGGACATGTACAAGCCAAATGTTAGAGAGTTTGTTTGCATGCCACTCCAGCTGCTGTGTGTGCATTGGTATGCATTTCCAGACATATTCTCTGGAGGGTACAGTTTACTTTTTAGGCCTAGAACTCAGTATGCAGCAGGTTTTTAATCAAATAATATGCAGTTACGTAATACCCATGTGCAACGTTGTCAGACAAGGGGGTTTCCAGGTGTGTTTATGGATTGAAACATATTTATGTGAAGAACTGTGTGCAACCAGAAAGATCAAACAGCTTTCTGGGGGGTAAAAAAACTCAAAAACTCAAATCTAATTCATTATAATTGCATGGTTGGGAGAGTGGTTTGCAGTTTTGTCATGTAAACATGAACACAACCTTCTA